CGGTGTCTCGGACGGGATGGAGCAAGCGTTGTCGTACGACCCGATTTTCGAAGGCAGCTGACCACTGATCAAACACATTCGAGACGGGGCACAAAGTGGAGAATTGCAATAGGCAGAATCAAACACGACAGAGCGTTCCGCCAACTTGTCGAGATTGGGGGTCTTGATCTGCGACTTGGGGTTGTGCATCTTCAACAGAGGAGCAGCAAGCTGGTCGGCCATGATGAAGAGAATGTTCGGCCTGGCCGGGAACAGGGGAGTCGAAAAGCCCTCGACGCCCTGAAATCCATTGGGCGGCGACACGGGGGGCGACTGAGGGAAAGGATTGAAGGAGCCCATGACTGCAGTGAATCAATTTGTATCTGGTGTCCGTGGATCGCTAAACGCGTCAAGGATCGAGCAGAAGACGGTGTATCTGTCTGCCTGGACAATCGTAGCCTGGATGGAAAAAGAGGAAGACAAGAGAGTGTGAAGGAGAGCGAAGGGGATAGATATATGGGGATGAAATTATGAGAACGAGGGGCAGAGTGAGACTTCCCGGGGTCACAAGCGCAGTTCCCCAATCAAGAAAAAGAAGGAATGCCAAAAAGAAACCAAAGTAGCAGATCCCAGGATGAAGTCAACAGAAAGTGGTATTGACCCAGCGCGGGAGGGCAGAGGAGGTTGCAAAGAAAAACAAGGTGAATACGGAGCGACTGGCACCGAACGGCTGTGGTTTTGAAAAGAATCTGGCCTGCGGCTACCCACCAGGTTTACTGATCTTGGTATGGCGTATGTGGGGACGATGATATTGATTCAATCTGGCCGACTAACACCTGGCATGCGTGGACCGTGGATTGCAAGGCGGTAAGACCGTCAGTCTGTGTGATTTCTGGAGGCTGACCAAATCCCGGCTCTGGCCGTCACCACCGTCAGCCTCCCTTCCACGGTCGAGGCTGAGCAGCTTGAAACGTCTTGGAAAGGAGCGACGGAAGGAAAGTTGGTAAGAAGGGGCAAAAAAAGCATGATGGAAGTCTCCAGGATGACGAAGAGTGGAAGGTTACAGGGTGCGAAGGCGACAATAGCATAATATTAAGGCGCGAAGGCATCATTGAAACCTGCAAAAGAGGCTCCTTGACAGAATGACAACATCCAAGAGTACGATCACGCCATTGTTTGCCACAAACGGACAAGTGTAGGCGGTGTATCAACGACACGACCTCGTTGGGTTCGCGGATGGTGCCACAGGCTGCTAGCAGATGATAAGACAGACGTTCAATTTCGTGGGATCGGAATATCGTGGGAATTGACACGCCGGTTCGCCGACCAGAGAAAGGGGAGAGGGGCGAGCAGGGGCACGTCGCCTAAGTACTGTACTGTACAGTATGCACGGCCCGGGGGGGAGAGGGGGGCGCTAATTAATCCCTACTTGGTACAGTACTATGCTTGTAGTAGGCACTTGGCCAGCTGGGTACATTTTCCTTCAGGCAAGGCTTGGCCTGGAAGGCCTCCCAATCAATCGCCCTCGGCCCCTCACACCCCCAGCAGACATTCCAACTCTATCCGTCGCTTGGGTTGCCGCTTCTGGTGATTATTCCCACCAAGGTCCGCCATTGGTTGGATTTGTCGGACATTCGCTAGGACATGGTGGAAGTCAAAGAATACGGGGTACGGAAATTGGATGACTGTGGCACAGAAAAGGAACAGCAGGCAGTGCTGCGAGTACGACAGGACTGGGCCCCAAGTATCACAGTTGGGAGGCCGGACATAGAGCTGAACCCAGAACGACGAGCCCCAAGACGACTTCCCTATCTTCCGTGCCTGCAGACTTCTCTTCATGAGCACAATCACAAAGGCTGGTCTGCTTTGTGTCCCCAGCATGCTGGATATTGAAATAGAATCCGCGCCCAATCCGAAACGTGGAATGCGAGATCGCCCTACCTAAAAGTAGAGCCCCGTGAGCCCCAAACCTGGGGCTTACCAGGCATGATGTTGGATGATCGGTCAGCCTCGCAGCCTTGGCCTTGAAGGCTTTGTGCTTTGGACCCCTTTTTACACCCCACGATTTCTTGTCCCACCAATCAATGCTAATTTATTCACCCACATCGGACGATCCGTATCCACCACGTGAATTTCCTATTCCTGCTCACCCGGTTGCCCCTTATTACCTTGCCTTGCTTGCCCTTACTTCCTCCTTCCACTGTCCCTCGCTGCCCCTCAATAACAACCCGAAAACTTCCTGCAAACTCTTCCTCCTGCATTCCTTCTTGATCCAGCAAATGATTTAATCTCCACCAAGCTTGTATCGCGGCCACTTCAGCGTCCGAGTTTTGCAATCCCGGAATCGGTCGGTACGCCAGTGTACTTGTTATACAGTATGACACTTCTTAGCACGTGACGGCGGCTGGCAAGATCTCCATCACCAGAACCAATCTTCGGATGTGGGCTTTATTCCTATCGGTTGATATTTGGAGCCCGGCAGATGCTAGAGACTTTTTCAGCTTAGATTCTGGCCTATGTAATTCCGAGTCCCTCGTACAGATCTCTATGAACCGCCGGCACCATCTCCGAAAGTCCCAAGTATGATGGCCCGGATTTCCACAAGACCAATAGTTTTCTCGCCTCCACACAACGTACTCCGTGCTCACATACTATACAAGGATTTAGAAGGCCGGTTGTCAGGGATGTCTAAAATGATAGGTGATTTTAGACTCTGCACCCCGCCTCTCCGCCATTGTCACTTTACATATGGGGTACTCCCCAATGCTATTGTGTTGTCTAAAACTTGGATATATTACCAGGTCCTTTCTACTATGTATTGTCTCACGACTTCCTCGGACTACCCCATAGCTTTGCCATTCCCTCGTCCTTGCAATCAAAACAATCTCTCGAAAGTGAGCACTCGGTAGGTCCTGCTCTGCGCGGCTGTGGAGCACGTGATCTGCATTGTCCCCGGACGCATTGGAGGTGCATTCGTCCAGCCTGACAACAGTTCCAGAAGATCAAAGTTACTCTGTACCGAGTACTCGGTGCTGTGTGCAGTAGTAACGAATACTTGATAACGAGATACACCCAGGAAGAATGACGTGGTCCGATGAGGGAGTTATAGTGCTGCAACTCTCCGCAGCTGCACCTCCCCAGCCTCCGTGTACTCCCCCAAGCTCAGCTCCGTACTCGGTATTCTGTGCTCCTTACGAGGTACATCTCTCAACCTCAGCACCATCTTTTTTCTTCACTTTGTTTGAGTGTTTCTGATTGTTCGCTCCTTATTGTACTTGCTGTTCTGGACTCTACCTACCTGCGCAATAATTGGCGTATCTAATACAACATCCTAATTGAGCTGGTTACGCGACAATCTCTCTCGCTCGGCTCCTCCTGGTCGCAAAACAATGGCTGATCGCGACGAAAGCGCCCAAGCCGCCGATTCAGGTGAAGCTGACGTTGTGATGGGGACCGTGGGGGAGACACAAGAGGCGGAAGATGATACCACCCAAGGGAAAGGGGAAGACGCAGGCAAGGACGCAGTGGTCGCCAACGGCAATACTCCCTCCAATCCTCAAGCTATATTTCTTGACTATCTCAAGTCACCCATTGTCCAGCTTATCGTGGGCAGCGGCGACGACGAAACTACCTTGACCGCCCACAAAGCCATCCTCGAAAGATCGCCCTACCTTAGCGAAATGCTCTCGACTCTTGATGACGACGCCCTCATTATTGAGATGCCCGGCGAATCATTAGATGCAGTGGGGTGTTTCCTCCAATACCAATACACGGGCGAGTACTTCCCACGACGCCTTGCAGACACCCCTGATGGGCTGGAACCTGATCCTTCAGTCCCGGAGATAGACAATACTGGCGCACAGCTTCTCAAACATGCTCGCGTCTATACGTTGGCCCAGAAGCTTGGACTGCCTGACCTCAAGACGCTGGCACACTCAAAGATCCATCGCATCAACTCAACAGCTGTTGGAGAGATCGCATACGCAAGATTCGTCTATGGCAACACGCCGGCAGATGATATAACAATCCGCAGACCTGTCGCTGCCTTCTGGGCCACCCGATCGCACGTTTTGCGCCACGAAGCTGAGGACGAATTTAAAGCGATGTGTCTGGAGTATCCACGGTTTGGTTTCGATGTTCTGAGTTTGGTGCTCGACCAGCGCGAAAAGAGAGCCAGAGAACGAGAGGAGGACAGCACACCGGGCGGGACCAAGGGCAGGAAGAGAATGCGACCAAGCATCAACATTTAGCCGGCCTTCGTCGTCACAGTCTGCTATCGACCAGGGCATTGGCGGATCATCTTTCGGCTTAGCGAGTACTTATAGCGAAGACGTCTAGGAGCTCGGGCGCATGCTCCTTTCGGGGCTCGACTTCGAGTGTGGTGCAGGATCTTTTTTCTTCATCAAGGGCGGGAAAGGAGGCCATCTGTAAAAATAGTTCCGGGGCTTCTTACCAATATTTCGATGCGGGAAAGCTGTAACAACACTGTCCCTATCACGAAGTAATGCAGAACACCAATGAAAAAGCATACTCCTTACAGATTTCCCCAGTCTGTGGCCAGATAGCCGTGCATCTAGCCCAGACTAATAGAGATCAGTCCGTGGATGCAGGAAGCCGGGCTCCACTCACCCAGGGTTCAGACATCTGCGCATTGCACGCACCGCACAGTTGGAAATCACAAGAGATTGCGGGGTTTCCGCCTCGCCGCCGCCGCCGCCTCTCACGGATCGACTCCAAGTGCCAGCCTTCCGGCACCGGCCCAGAGGGACGAGCTTGGACGAGGTACCTGAGTCAAACCGCGCTCCGAGGCTCGTCTTTCTTCTGCCTCAGGTTCGCATTCTGCTTTCGTCTCCTCAACTTTTCTCGACCTTGGCGCCCTATGTCTCTACGCAATTGACGTAAAAGCATCCTGCGCCGCTTCCTCCAGACCATGAGCCCATGCGGTCGGGTTGCACGTAGTACTACCCGCAGTCCCTTGTTTGATCCTTGAAGCCGCCGTCCGATTTGCAACTTGTCGGCAAATGTCAGATCTCGCCGACGAGCCTGACCATGCAGGCAATGGCATGAACACGTCCTTCGACAGCCGAACTGCGCTGCCAAATAGCAGCTTGAACGAAGCCACCTCTCCAACTGCGCCCCGCAAGTCGAGCCAGACCTCGCCGTCCACGGATCAGCCCAAGAAGAAGCGCAAGGTGAACCATGGTCTGTATACATTCCAAGGATTCTTAGTGATGGTGGGGACTGACACCTTCCTTCAGCATGTGTATATTGTCGACGTTCGGTAAGCTACTTTGACCTCTGGCACACGAAAGTACCGAGATTCGAGTACCTGGAAAGACACATAATGGGCTGACTGCTTGTTTTTGGGATACACAGCATATGACTTGCGATTCTGTACGACTCCCTGGCCCTCGGTGTCGAGCTCGACATCGTCCACTCAAGTTCTGTTTGGCTAACACGACCCTCCCATTGGGGGACCATGTCTCAGGACCGACCTTGTAAACGCTGCATCAAGAGAAACATCGGCCATCTGTGTCATGATGAACCAAGAGAAGGGCATGGCTATCACAAGAAATCCAAGACCGACTCAGACACTGCTGGGGCGGACGAGCAGTCTCCTCCACGGGATGATTTTTCCACGGCTCCAAGCTTGCCTGGTCCCGCCGTGATGGACGACTCTACTCCTAACCTACTGCAAGATGACAATGTTGGACTGAGACCGTCCACAAATGACACCGTGGCCGTCTCTAATTCGAGTGCGGCAGCTCCAAGTGCTGGCATCAATGGTAATACTCACCCGCGTAAGTTGTGTCTCAAACTGTTTGAGGGGGAAAGCTGTTGTCCCTAATGACGTGCAGATTTCGGTTATAATGATCCATGGGCCGGAGTCCAAGGTCGTCTTCATGACATGCATGCCTTCCATCCAAACTACATGTTCAATGCAAACGAAGTCACCGACGAATTCAACCTGTTGAACGACTTCCTCAGCAACAGTCTATTTGAAGAGACAGGAATGTATTCCACCGAGGAATTCCAGGGTCCTTTCAATGACCCTTCTTTCATGAACTCTATGGCTGCTTCTTCTTTCCCGCCCGCTGGGGTTGAACCCCTGGTTTCCCAGGAGCATACCAATAACGCACAGGCCGCAAACCAGAACAACGCGACCCACGCGGCTCTGATATCGAGACCACCGAGTGTGAAGCCGATATCGGACAAAGCGCGAGAAAAATACTACATGATGGCAGCAGATCCAACGGGCGCTGAACCACCCGAAGAGCGCATGCAGAAGCTGCTCAAAGCAAAGTACGATGCGGGAATGCTCCGGCCCTTCAACTACGTGAACGGATACGCAAGGCTCAACAAGTACATGGAGAAGAACATGAAGCCACATTCGCGTCACAAGATCTTGATGCAGTTGGACCAGTTCCGACCAAAATTTAGAGAGAGAATGCAGAGCCTGACAGATATTGAGCTGGTGCTGGTGGAGATGTGGTTTGAGAGGAGTCTAATGGAGTATGATAGAATTTTCGCCAGCATGGCCATTCCGGCCTGCTGCTGGAGGAGGACGGGTGAGATTTTTCGAGGGAACAAGGAAATGGCGGAACTGATACAGGTACCCATCGAATCACTTCGTGATGTGAGTACGAGATTCGGAGGCGGTCAGAAGACAGACTGACGAGTGGACACGCAGGGCAAACTTGCCATACACGAGATCATCGTCGAAGATCAGCTGGTCAGTTACTGGGAGAAGTTCTGTGCCATCTGCTTCGACCAACAGCAAAAGGCTATGCTCACGAGCTGTACTCTGCGCAGCCCCGCGGCGGGCGCTGATACTGCCGACATCCACTGCTGCTTCTCCTTCACAATCCGGAGAGATAATCACAATATGTAAGTCCCAGCGTTTTCTAGCCCTGCCTTCGTACTAAGGCGTTTCTCACAGACCCTCACTGATTGTGGGCAACTTCTTGCCCATGAGTCCTGGAAAACGTTGAAGTACAAGACACCTATGTTTAGTGTATAGCAACCTCTGATGATGACAATGTCACAATGTTTGAGTATTCTAATGGCGCACAACTTCTTGCGTCTAATGTGGTCTCACATGTCTTGTGAAGGCTGCATTTGATGCGGTCACGTGCCAGCTTCGCCCCCCCAATGCACAAGATGATGGCCCCTGGTTCCTCCACACGTTCTTTGCTCAATGTTTGTTGCGTGCAGTCAACCCTTCTCAAATGTTACCAAACGAGCAAGCGAGCAAGGCTCCTCAATCCATTCTCGGTATGCCCGACCTCACTCTGACTGAAACGGACTAACCGTACAATCTCAGACTTCGCCTCTCACCTTGAGACCGTCCTCAACCACGAAGTGAGCATACCTCCTGAAAACTTTCCTGACTTCTCGATCTACTTGGAGGCTCTTCCTCTCCCGCGCAAGGCACTTGCTCCCGGCCAACGGGTTGAATTCGACCGTAAGGGCGTTGCACTCTGGAACACCTGTTGCAAATTGTGTAGGAGCGGAGGGAGTCCGCAGCTGCTCGCCAACCTTGCAAAGCGTATTATTACCACTCTAGAAGCCGTCCTCCTCTGATCTATGCGACAGTCCGGGTATTCTCGTATCTCCTTCTCGAAAGTTCGGCGAGTTCAAAGTGGAAGAGTGCACTCATCCCTTTCCTAGGTGCAGAATTCAACTTACTCAAGCATAGGCCAACACCGACTGTTTAAAAATGCACTCAGAGCCAGCAAAAGCTGCCTTGGTAGGATCTGTGACGCCGTTCGAACACTCTTCGCCTAACCTTCATCTTTGCGCCAGATGCCGGCCTTGTTGACATCGCCTCCAAGGTCATCGAGCAGCTAGCTCCAAAACAGGAAGATCTCCTTAAGAGCGCCGAACACGACGACCCCCACATCAAAGGAATCACCGAAAGCTTGAAAGCACAATACTTGTTGCTGCGCATCGGATTGGTCTGTATCCAGAAGCCCTTTGTCGATATCAGCTAAGGAAACAGGCATGGAAGCAAGAGCGAACCGAACTAGCCGAGCATTTCTATGCCCAACTTGAGGCAATCCGACCCCATCTGGGTCCGAGTCGTATCGGAGAACTACTTGACCTATGCTACGAAATCGGCAATGATCAGCTCAACCAGAAAAAGGGCACTCTTGCTGCAAAGTGGCTCAAAAGAGGTTGCCAGCTCGCGAATGAATACGCAGCCCAGGCCGAAGATATGGATATTCTTGATCTAAGGTTTACCCTCATGCATACATGTGGTAGGAAAAATCTCTCGTCGATGTTGCCGCCAGCACTCATGCGTTCAGCAGTCCGAGCTCTGCTGGCGACCGAGGATCCGCAAGCCGGTCACGAAGCATTTCAAATCCTCCACGCACTTCGCCAGGTAATTATTTCGATTTCAAAAATAGCTCAAAAGGAAACTAACAATTTTAGGAATTCGGCCACAAGCTTCCTGTCATACTGCTTCAATTGGAGGTGTACGCGAAAGATCCGTCCCCAAATCCTGACGCGTTCTCTGCAGGTGAGACCGTTTCTCCCATAACGTTGTCTGTGAATGTCCCTAACTTTTGAAGAGCTGATGAAGATTGTCCGATCTGCTCCCTTGATTCACTCGAATCACAAGTTGTGAGCCAGCACCTAGAATTGGTAAAATACTTTTTTCTTATGGTCAGCAGAATCTTGCACTATGTGCATCGTCTAAAATCTCTGAGGTGCGAACAACAAGCACTATGAGAATCAAACTGACCCAAGTTAGCACTTCAGATGCTATTCGAGTCTTAGAGTCGTACATTGTCATAAGACTTGCTCCAAGTGATGAGGACACCTGGACTGAAAACGCGATAATTACGTTGATTTGGCTCATGACAGCGGAAAGCAATGACAGCAACATTGTCGACCCATCGTTTCTCGAAGGAGTATTCGATGAGATCCAGCGAGCCTGGAACAAGGCCCTGAGCGCGGAGGCGACTCACGGTGCACTGGTTGTAGGTTTTGCTACCGCTGTCACTGGGAAGAGATGCTGACGATATAGCTATTTTGGAAGCGAATCGAACATACTTTCGAGCATGGCTTGAAAGAGACTACGAGTAAGTGGTGTCATGTTACATTACATCGACTGTTCAGCAATGCCGGAGATAACAATATCGGGAAGATTGAGAGGTATGATACTTGTCCCTTTTGAGTGCAATCCGCTTACTGGCATCAGGAAGATAGTCAAATGTCACATCGATCTGCACAATCTCGATGCTGCTCATGCAGTTCTCGAAAAGATGTCACCAGCGCGAAAACAGCATGCCCTCTCTCGATATTTGCGATATTGTCTCGCTTTGCGCCGTGGGGATGAAGCCGACGGTAAGATCATCTGCCCTTAGCCGAGTGGTCTATGAGAATGATAGCTGTGCAGCGAGATCGACGTTAGCCTCCCTCGCCACCGTGCACGATAACCGGAACAAACTACTCTTCGCCGCTGTTTCAGAGGCTACGCAATATGGTAGCAAATTCCAGGGAGCGCAGCTATTGCAGCGTATTCTGGACAAATACAATGACAACGTGCCACCGGAAATCGATGCATATGCCCTTTTGAGGTGAGACATAACTAAAACCATATATTGCCTTCGTGTTAACTTGGGAAGATGTACAGCCCGCCTTCTCCTTTTAGCAGTTTCGGAGGCTAACGGCATCGACGAAGAGCTTCTGTCTCGACTATGTGGAATCTTCAAGTCCGGTGCGCTATCTGATCGTATTTCGCTGCTGTAGCTAACTCAGACCAGCAGCACTATTCACGCAAAAACAACAAGAACGAGAAAGGATGACATTAGATTATCGTCTGCAGGAAAGCAGATGGTTCGAGAAGACCAGCTACAACACTGCTGTGCAATACCTCAAGTCATGGCCGGCAAAATATGTCATCGACCTTCTGCACTATTCGTGTCAAGTGAGTGCAGGCTCCGGTTCTCTTTCGTCCCCTTAGACTGACCTTCTGTCCGGATCCAATATCCTGCCAACGCTCCAGAAAAAGCTCAATCTGAGAAGCATATCCTTGAAGCCGAGGCAAAGTACATTCAAGCAATCCTGTACACCATCGAGGCGAGACCCGCCTCTACATCATATATAACGGACGTTCCGAAGACGGCTTATTCCAGCAGGGCCCCGCCGCAGTCGCCGGCAGAAATCAAGTTTATTTTGTACAGGAATGTAATCGCTAAGTACACGGAAATTCATGCTCACCGGAAAGTCTTACATGAGAGTTACAATACGGGCATCATGACGGAGGAACTTCTTGAGGCTATCACGCAGAAACTCATCGTCTTGGCTCCCCTGGCGTTCGAAGCTGTGCTCTTCATGGCCTTTACAAGTCAGACAGATATTCCCGGTCAAGCTCAGGTTCTTGACGAACTCTCTCTTACTCAGATAGTCGACCAAATGGTGCAACTCAACCCACCTCAGAAGACCTATTCGATCTTTGCCCACATGATCCTTTCTGCCTCCACTGGATCCCTCGATCAGGATTCGGCCAAACATATGCTGCCGATTTCTGTTACAACGAATTTGCTCGCCAAGCTCATATCTGGTCTGCGAAATCATCCGGATTATGACAACAATCAAGCTGCAAGATGGATGAGGTGTGTGGTGCAAATTGTTCTTGATTGGAGGGGCTCGCAATCTCACCAGACCCAAAAAGACAGCACGAGGGATGGAAAACATCTGAGCACTGTGGCGAGAATCACGGAACATGCCCTGGATCTGGCCAGGTCTGCTCCTAGTCGAGATTATCCACCGGAGGAACTTGAGTGGCTCGCGGCTACACTCTTCAATCTATCCATTGATCTCTATGCGTCGTCGCCCTCATCGAACTCTGAATCCGCAATGGCGGATGGCGTCGAGCAAAATCAAGAGATCAAGCACGAGAAGAAACAAAGTGGAGATCCTGTTGTCATGATGCCGCAGTTCTGGGCTAAGAGAGCCATAGATATAGCAGATGTCCTCGCGATGAATTCCGCTGGGGGCGGGGATGGTGGACTGCTTGCAAAGGTACTCAGGGAGAGGTGCCAGAGGCTGCAGTGGGACGTTTGATAAATTCCGTCAGAGAGAACTCCATTCGGTCAGTGCCGTGGACTAGTAAGCAATGGTTGGGACGAGGAGCTACTTGTCCATGTCTATTATGGAAACCCTCTGGCGGAGAGAACGCCTCCCCTAATCAACTAAATGATGAAGACGGAAAGCGAGAACAGAGAAAAGGCAAAAGCGAAAAAGACATGTCAAAGGAAGTGGATGTCTTCGATTCGATTCGACCTATGGAAGGATGGCACCACTGTGAAGCTTAGGTTGGTATGATCATGTCTAGTTAATCGTCTGCTTCCCTTTGTTTGTACAGGATTACCACGCCTCATCTCATCTCTGCAAGGATCCTTGGAAGCAAGCGAGGTTTGATCAATCATGTTTGCACAACGCCAACTCTTGGAGAATTTGCAAAAATAGCTCAGCCTCACAGGCTCCGTCAGCCCCTCTTGGCATGTCGAATTGCCTTATTAGTAGCCTTGCCATCCATTGCCATCTCTTGCCTGGGAGAATCGGTGCGGACATGAATTTGGTGGAGAGCCCGTCTGGGACACACCTTGTGATCTTCCGGCAACCGTACTTGGAAGATGTCACAGAAGGGATTCTCTTCCTTCTTTTCACAGGCAGGCAAGTTTTGGTTTGTTCTTTTCCTCGATCCTGATTAAAAATCTCGTATTCAACAATCCACCCACGGCGATCCACCTTTTGTCCAATCCGCCGTTGCCGTCATCAAAAGCTTCGATCATTGTAAGTGGGGTATCTTGGTAGAAAGAGTAACAAGGGGTAAAATATGTAACGCATAAGGGCTTTTGCACAGTGTGAAAGGTTGTCGTAAAGCGGTCGTCATTTCGTTCATTTCCTCGTGGCTGCCAAACGGCTGGTCCAACTCCCGTCTTCAGAGAATTGGACTCCGGTCACGGTCCTGTTGTCCTTTTATCGCTGTGTGATGGAGTTGTGCTGTGGTCCAGCAGGAGTGCATTTCGCCCACGGTCATTGGCGCCAGCCCGGAACGTCACTGTACAAGAGCATCGCTGGTCCTCCAGTTGGACCGCCAATTGGCCTTCCAGTCATGGGATCCATGCCGAGCTTCGCCCTTAGTTCGTCAACCTTTTGCTTCACACGCTGGACCTTAGCCACCACGACCTCGAGCTTTTTCATTGTACTCTGCTTCCCCATGTCTTCAAGTTCTGGGACCAGATCGTATAGTTCAGCGTACGCACGGGCTGTTGCATCCCGACGGCGTTGCTCCGAGTTCGTGTGATTAGCTTTCTTTTGCTCGAGGCTAAGAGGTACACGGGTGGAGGTGACGCTGGGCCGTTGGACCTTTGACTTGGGCTTACTTGGAGTAGACGCATTCGCACTGGCCTTCTTCTTACGAGGGGGCTTTGGAGGGGGAGCCTTTGTGTTTCGCGGAGGGCGAGCTTTAGAGGCCGGCCAGGGTGCCGGGGAAGGTGATCTGGGCTGTTCTGTGGCGTCCTCGTCGTCTTCCCTGTCGGCCTCTGCCTCAGCATCTGGCTCCTGCTCACCTATACCTGGGTCGTTGGAGTTGAGCGGGGAATGTGGTTTGCTGTTGGATAGCGGTGTTGGCGGCTGAGAAATTGATGTCCTTTTTTCGGTCTTGATCTCAGAACGCTTCCTGCGAGGGTTGGACTGCGGAGGAGATGGTTGAGCCATGCTGGTCTGCTGTGCCGAGGCAAGAAAGCCGTTGCGCGGTTGTTGATCTCTGACGAAGTCGTCAAAATTTCTTTTCTTTGACCAAGTGGGACTTGACGGTTGGGTATTTGGCTGTGTGTTTGGTTGGGTGGTGCTTCCACTGGCCGGTTCCAACCACTCGCCAATGGGGTTATTCATCTGCAATCCCTGAGGCAGGTCAGGATCCATAGGATTGTGAGGAGCAGCATAGCCAGTTGGTTGAAATCGAGAATCGGTGCCAAAATCCATTCCTAGACGACCCTGCGGAGGAATCCTGATTGCGTTCTGAGGTGGATAGGACTGTTGCCAACCTTGAGTGTAAGCCGGTTGCATTGATACCGCGGATTGGAGCTGAGTGATGAGAGGATTTGGGAATGTTGCATCACTGTACGAAATCCCGTGCATTCCAGGGACCAGTGGAGTCGTCTGTGAGACCGTGTTCATGTCATGTCCCAGAAAGCCATCGCCATACAGGAATCCGGCTCCTGTTAGTTGATGTTGATCGATGATGGACCGCTGAGCCAACGCAGTGTCCGAACCCACAAACATCGGGGGCATATCAAAGAGGTGGTCATGGTCGGCAGGGGAATTGAACTGAGTGTGCGTAAGGGCTTTGTTGGCAGCGCCATTTTGATCAAAGCCTTGGAAGAAGTTGTCCAGGTCGCGATTCTCGTGTGCGTTCAGCAAAGGCTGGCCCGGAGGAGGGCCCGGGGTCATAAACTCGGGCAAACCGATTCCATGAAGGTTTTCAGGTTGGTCTAATGGGTAGACGTGAGTAACTGTATCTCCAGTGAAAGGAACAGAGGAGTAGGGAACGAAAGAAGAGGTGTATGCCGTACAACCGAAAGGGAAGTTCTGCTGTCCGCCATGGGACGACATTCTTTGAGTTGCCAACATCAATGGCACAACGCCTCCAGCTCTTCTCCTAGGCTGCTCTCAGGCAGCCTAGACTTGTGAGACGTTACCAGTGGATGCGGCAAGGGGACGATGTGTCTACCAGGATGGAGGGGGATAGATCGGCGGATTGGTGAATGTCGGGAAGGGTGAAGATGAGCTAAGGCCGAGAAATCTCGGTGAAGGTAGGTTTGAATACGGCGAGATAGGCGCAGAAGGAGGAGATTTGACAGCCGTCAGCTGGTCAAGTGCACCCAGCCGTGAGTCCAAGATGCAGGTGAAGTCGAAGTCAGGCCTGAGTGACAGTTGAAGGATCTGTTGGGACGTGTTGACGCGGACTGGAGAACGGGCCGAGAAGCTCGCAGAATGCGGCAAGAGGCGGCAGTCATGAAGATGAAGGGAATGAGATGAGATTCAAGTGAAGACAATGTTGACTCTGGGTGTTTCTGCAGTGTCAATGCAAGTCAACAGAATGCAGCTGGTGACAGAAGGTCAGGAGTAATGCAATGGATGAGGCCACGGAATCTTTCACATGCGATTTTCTTGTCGTTGGGTTTTTTTGCGAGCGCAGTCAAGCGCAGTCAAGCGCAGTCTGCAGTCACCGGTGAAAAAAACGACAAGCAAACCGCCGCAGCTCCCAGCTCCCAGCTCACAGGTCACTATCCTCCCTCCACCATCCTGCATCCTGCATCCTGCGTCCTGCGTCTATGCCAATCATCCAGCCATCCAGCCATCCATCCGTCCAACCATCCAGTCGGTCCAGAGCGAACCTCCGCTTCACTAGCCGTCAAGATCCTTGAGCCCTTCAGCACCGGACCCCGGCCATCAGGTCGTTCATGGACTACGGTCCATGGGCCAACCGCCATACTCATCTCCCCAGCCACAATGATCCGGATACCCTCCATACGGGGTGCCGTGGTTGGTGGTACGATTATACTGCATTCTGCAAGGATAAATGTTGAATCATGCGTAGAGACTGGTACTCTATATCCTAGAGAGAGAGAAACAATTGCCCACGGCCATTCCAATTGCCCCCAAAATCAATGTCGATCTTCCTCCAAACCAGCTCGTTCCATGCATCTTGCCACAGCCTTATCCCAAACTCCAGACCCCTCGTGCCCCTTCCGGCCCCTTTCTCATCCATACCCCAGACTGGCGTTTTCCATGTGACATCTGGACGACCACTGCACCATCCCCAGAGATCCATTCCATGTATACTTTCCCCGTCAGTCGATCTGATAAAACCAAAAACAACATCCAAATGTGTCCGAGCGTCTCTCCCCATGTGAATGCCCTGATCTTCCAGAGACTGTCACTTTCCAGCTCCTTTGTCATCCGTGTCGCCCATCCTACCTTACCAGATTCGATAACCACTGTCACATTCTTCCAGAACTGCAGGAATTCGCACTCGGTCCACAGAGCCTTTAGCTCCCGCACACCCGCGGCCTTGCCACGTTCCTTGCGTGCCGTAGACCCTAGCAGCTTCAGGGTTGCTCTCGGAGGCTGTCTTGATTCTTTCACAATACTCTCCTCTGCTATTTTGATCCAAAATTGCCAGTATCCTCGCTCGAGCACCTTGATGTCTCGACTGACAAATGCCGGCCGGAAATGCTTGAGCAAGGGTGCCTCCCCGTTCGTCATCTTCTTCAGCGTCTGGGTAAGATGAGTTGTAAACTCCAGCTGGCCCCCTTGAGGATTCGGGGCTCGAATCTCCGCTGGCAGGAGTCTTATCTGATGGTCGATTTGCGGGCGGGGTGTAGGGGAAGCGGCCAGGCTGGCCATCGGTGAGGCTTGTGGTCGCGAACCATTTGTCTTTACTGAGCGAGGATTAGGACCAAGGTAACCTGGGCCGTCGGGGCGAGCTGGGCTTGTCAAATCGACGACAGAGAAAGTTTTCGGGGGTAGAGGCTCGTGCGTGTTTACCCTCCAAATAGCATTGCTCCTCAGCTGAGACGACGATGCAGACTCTGTGGAATCCGTCGCATCGCCATCAGAGGCTTGGGCTGCAGCCACTTCGACATCCTCGATATTGCAATAGTCCATTTCCGTTCGTGGCTGCTTCCGTTTTCGCTTGACCTTTGTGGAAGTCAAGAGAGAGTCAGTCGGACACACTTGAGACTGAGGCTCTAACAGAGGGGCAGAGATATTCTTGACATCTTGCACGTTCCTTTCCGCCCTTTTGGCATTCGACCTGGAATAGGCCGAAAAGGAGATGCTGGAAGAAAAAGTGTCTGAAGAGGCACGTCGACGGCTTCCTCCAGTTTGAGATAGCTTGGTGGGATCGGCGGTTGAGGTCAGATCAAACACAGTGCTCGGGCGAGGCAGGTTTCGTTGATGCGATAAGGAACTCCTAATGCATAGTAAGTCTTCCTGCAGCAATCCAAAGTAAGCTCAGACAGCACGAATGCTCATGGGCCATGGCCAAGTCTCAAGCCGCTGGGGCAATCCAATCACTTTCACCCTGCACTAATCTGCGGACATTGGACACCAACCTAGTATCGACGACGACTTCGTGTTCATCAGCGCCACCTAACTCCTCTCGAGAGGCAGAGGACGGCGGATGAGGGCCAGGGCCAGAAACTCTGGTAATAATGGCTGGCCTGAAGTCCAGAATGGATTGCGCGATGGCAATGTACCGTCTGTCATCTCGTGCGGTGCTGGCAGCATTGACATGAACTAGGAGTTCGTTCTCGACCGTCATTATAGTAACAAGTCTCGGGTCTCGCCCATTTTTGGGCCAATGACGAAATTGTGGTCGAAGCGAGAAGGATGTGAAGTGAGAGATGCCAAAAGACTATCTGAGATGGTAGTGCAAGATCCCACTTCACTCATGGTCACTCATGGAAACGTCAATCCACGCTCCACGCTCCACGGCGCTCGATTCGCGAAGTGTGATCCAGGTGGTGAAGTTGAAGTAGCAACGTAGAGGGTCTTGAACCTTTAGTCGGATAATCGGGGAAACTGTTAGATAGAATCCAATTCCAGATCCCGGGTAAATCAAAGACTACCAACCCCAAATGAGTCCAACCATGCGGGCCATCCAACCGCTTGGTATGCAAGAGACAAGAGAGATGCGGGATGCAGACAAACCTGGAGATCTCATGCATACATGTATTAGTCGACCACCCGCCCACCACCGTCAATCACATTCCTCCCTCCCCGAGCCTCTTTTCCGTGGCTGTTGAGTCGGTGTAGCAGATTCCCTGGTGATTTTGATCACCAGCAGCTCATTCCACTGATGCTCCTTCCCCCAGGTGATCGATATTGCTAGAGCCCTTCTTCACTAATACAACCTCCCATCACTCCTCCCGGCCAGATGTTCAACACTCACCAGTTGGAACTTGTCCTTGTCCTTCGTGGGCTATAGTCGCCAAACAGCGGGCACATAATTCGATAACATCATCCACAGCTACGATACTGGTACGTCTTGGGTGGAAAAGGGGAGGCATAAAGTGACTAACGAGCGTCCGACAGATCGGCCACTGATGGACTCTGGGGAGCGTCGAAACCACTATACCGCGGTTTCGCCCTGTCTCTAAGCACTGATATTGCTTATAAAGGAGCAGCCAACTTTTAGATATCCAAGCCGGAGAAAAGCACGTCACTTTCAGCTGCCGTTTCGCAAAGACCCAAGATCCTCAAAGCCTTTGTGAATTGAAAGGAAGAAGTCAGACCAGGGCTAGGATCAATCTGCTCAAGAGACATGATGGCACACGACAGTTGAAGAGTTCCCTTTCTAGTAATTATTCGCGCCGGACGAATGATCTTCGCGCTACCCGGGGAAGTGAGCAGGAAGGGACTTGTCGCTAAACGGGATCGCTACGCACGCAGAACGTTGGACGACAAAGCTGGTGCAACAGACATCGGAAGCGGTAGGGAGAGCACAGTGCAAGGGATTGGCACCCAGGAAACGGTACCCAGGAAACGGCATGAAAGAGACAGAATCATCATCATGGGCCATGGCATGAATGCTGTTGAGAACAGGTAGCTCACCATCAGAGACTTGAGAAACTCTGAGAGACGAAGGGGGAAAGCAAATGAGTGGACGAAGGTCAGAGGCAGCTGGTAAGTGCATTCTAGTGAACAAGATGTCACAAGAAGTCGATCTCATCTCGGCTGCACCAATGCTTGAGATTGAATCGCGGCACCGCTCGCTTTTTTGATTCTGCTATCGTAACTTGTTCTGCCGGGCCATTCTTCACTACGAGTTCATCGGACCTGACGGGCATGGTAGGTGGAAGACGACAAGAAGAGGTCTGCAAGATGTGTCCTGGCTGCGTCTTCAAGTGCAATATTGATGAGCTGACTGTGGACACCGTTGCGGCGTCTGGGCTAAGTGATTGTCCCAGGGTCACTAGGCCCCGTTGCAGCGGTCTCTTACTTAGCTCACTGCGGCAGTTAGGCGTCATTAGCCTCTTGGGACACCACCGTGCGGGCACCATTGACGCAATTGCGCCTGTTGACATGCAGATAGGCTTACTAACCACTTGGCAGGTAGGCACCTACTTGGTAGGCACCTCCCATCGCTGGGCTAGGCGAGCACCTGACTCGTCGTTGTCCTTAAGCACCTGCATTTGCCTGAAATGGTGGGTTCTGACACCGGGCCCTAGCCGGATGAACGAATGACCTGCTACTGCTGGGTTCTCCCAAGGCTGCAAGTGCTTACCTATACAACGGCTACCTCGTACTGTGGCTGTGCCTTTGCATATTGGATGGACTGGGCTGGGAGTGCCTTGTGCTTTTTTTCACTGACTTCGGGTGCTGACTGAACGGCTGGCTTCCTCGCAAGAGAAAACGATGGCGCCTCTGCCCTCCTTTTCCATGATATCCATCCATCATTGACCACCGACCATCGACCGACTCCCTCCTCCTCCGGTGCCACCCCCTTGCGCCCACCCTGCGCATCCGATCGCGACGCAGGTCACACAGTTCGTGTCGGTCGTGCGTTGACTCCCAGTTGTGTAACGCTACATCCCACTATCTAACCATCCTGCGACAACCATCGCCCTCATCCTCGCCAATCGTCAATCATCCTCATCTGGAGAAACACCGGTTTCTCACTCCCGCATTCCGTGCCGCAACACGAAGACGAGCTCAGGCCTCCAGGGAACCTTCTCCCACTTAAGACCGCTGACAATCCTGCGTGATTGCATCCGGCCCTCCACAATCCCCAGTGCGCACTGGGCCGTGGCTGCGATATAGACACCCCAACCTAGGTATAACTTGCACACATGGCTACACAGTCCCGCCGGCCAATTGGTTCTTAGCACATCAGGAGACTGAGTTTCTAAGCTTGGACTCAACCCCCATCTCGTGGACCCTTATCCCTGAGCAGCACTGAGCCATCTGGCGTCTAAAGCAGCGGGCCAGTCATCCCATCGGGGTCCCTTTGTCCTTCCGTTTTCTGTGCTTCGGGTCTCGACCTCACGGCACCTCACCGTAAACGGTCGAGAGGTGTGGACATCGCATCGACCCGGTTCCGCCTTGCTCGACCACGCTGCTTCTGTTTCAGCTTTCAACGTCGCCGTTTTCCTGCCTTGTACACTTTTCGAACACGTCTTTGTTTTGCCGTCATCAACTGCAACCGCTGTCGGCCCATCATTGGCCTGCGAATCGCTCTGGCCAGGACACCTGTGACGGAATTGTTGCACTGATTTTCCCTACCGCGATCAGCATTCTTGTCCCGCCATAAAAATATTTGCCTTGCGCTCGACCCCCTCCATCCTGATTCCAGATCCTCCCGCGTCAAGATTGGCTTTTCACGGCGCAATTCCAACCTCGTCTCATGATTAGTCTCAGAACGACATGCTAACTGCCAAATCCTTATCCCGACCCTCTTGCCACTGTCTTCTACTTTCCTTTCCGGTTTAAGCCATTGCGCGGCCTCTCCGAACGCAAGAACCGCGCCTTCCATCCTCGCCTGGCTCTGACCGGCTGCTACCAATTCCGAGCTTCCTTTGCGGCCAGCTCTTCCCAATCGGAGCCCAACGTCCAGGGGTTTACCCCGGACTTCTCTTCTATCAGATTGCAAATCAATTAAAGTTGGCGTCGTTGTTAGCGAGGGGTTGCTGGAGGCAGCATATTTGTTCTCATGACATCGCATCCGACTCATATGCATGCCAACATGCAACAATCTTCCGAAATGGACCCATCGACTTGGTCAGGTCAAGATTATGCGCCTGGCACTTCCTACCGTGAGTCGCCTGCTGTCTCTCCCTTCTTCCCATTTCTGGATTTATGGGTGGTTGCGTATCTCGATGAGGTGGTCCACCATGGTCTTATTCTCGAATGGCAAATAGTTCCACTATCGTGTACATTCAGGCAATCGGTACTATCTTATTGTGCTAAAAGCCGAGGATGAGTGGAGGCGAGGATCGTCAATCGATGTTCGAATCAACCAAAGGAGCGCAATTTGTGTCTCTCGTCTCTTATTGATCTGGAGGCTAACTAGGGATTAATTACAGACAATGGAATTCCCTCTGACGCAAAAACACCCACCAACACGGTGAACATGGGATTTCTTAAGGGGTTTGGGGGGATGCAAAAACGAATCACTCGAGGTATGCATTTCTAATCCGTCTGATCTTGGGTTGAGAGCTGACCACAACTAGACGGTCAACCTGCTAAAAGAAGAGGTCCTAAACCAGACAGTAAACCAGCACAAACCCGGCGGCAGGAGCTCAATCGCCAAGCTCAAAGGTATGCAAAGTTCTTGTCCTCCTCTAGCCATTTGCTAAAGGCAATAATCTATCAGAACACACCGGGAACGGAAAGAGAACTATATCAAAGCCTTAGAAATGGAGCTCGCACGTCTACGTGAAGTATTCGTCTTCGAGCAAAATGCGCGAGACGCAACCATCCAGCAGCAAAAGTTGGTAATTGAGAATCAGCAACGGGAGAACGTGGCACTGAGAGAAGTCCTCACATCTCGGGGAATCGCATTCGAAAACGAACTGGAGAACCGGAAAGCCATGCTGGCGCTGAAACCAAAGCGAGAAGAGAATTCCATGACCCCTTCGTCAATGAGTACCTTAAGTCCCCCATCCGTTGGGCTTAGATCGGTTGGTTATGGAGCTGTCGTGACAGGACCCGCATCCGCTACAAGCAGCTATTCCCCTCAAGCGTATCTTAACGGTGGCCCTATGAGTGTGTCGGGTCATTCACCCGGAACAACTCAGTACGCCAGTACGCCTCAGGGACCAGAAATTCAAGAGTTCGCTATCAAACAGGAAGAAGTAGCTACACCGGATATGCCGGGCATCTTCGAGAGGGACCCCCAATTGGGCATTGATTTCATCTTGAAGTAAGTGGGGATACTGCCTTCCATTCCTCAGACTTTCGCGACTGACCACTTGCTTTCAGGTTGGAGCAGACTTGTCGTGATCACGAAGAGTACCTTGTCCGACGGTCGGCGGATTCACCCGATAATGAAGAAGAAGCGCTATATTCTGGACATGCCTTGATGGCGACCTGCCCACCTCCAAGCCACATCTCGCGAGTTCCCGCGCAAGAAGGGGGGTTGGTGCCGACGTACGAGCACAAAGTGCCAGATGCCGAGTCAGTACAGATCTTGAATAACTTGCTCAATCTGAGCCAAACCCTTAAAGGCAGCGCTATTCCCAGCGGCCAAGTAACGCCCATCATGGCTTTACAATCGCTCAAGGGTCACCGGAACTACGCTACCCTCACACGGGAGGATGTCTTGGGGATGATTGAGTCCATCAGAAGCAAAGTCCGATGCTACGGTTTCGGGGCAGTGATGGAAGATTTCGAGCTGCGGGATGCTCTCTCGAGTATCTTTGCAACAAAACCAGAAACATACGACCAACTGGGGACAGATTACACGGCAGAGATCGATGAGATGTACTCATGATCGATCGGCGATATAGGTGGCCAGCGACTGCGCTTGTTCAGAGATGATCTGTTGCTGGTGAATGATTTCGGATTCTTGTATGGATGGCTGTCTAAGATATGAGCTGCGCATCCATTGTTGCTTGTTTGTGACGCATGTATCAGTTTCTAACGGCTCTTTTCTTTTTGAGCCCCTCTCAGTCTTTACAGATGGGCTGTAGATAGATACCGCCGCCAGGCCAATTTACTGTATCCCCTCACCATGACGGGCACATGCATCATCAAGAAGGGACTATGTGATCGGCCTGGCCATCAGATTTCCTTTAATGCTTCTGTTCAACGTCATTTTCCATTTTCCAACACCTGCCACGGACCTTTGACAAGTCGGGCGATTTCTCGGGGCTAGAGGTGCAGCAGAACATAGAGTTCCTACATACCATTTATCCTGAGGGAATTCCAAGTAGAAATTGGACGTATGCGTCGAAGAATGGTGGATAAAATGTCTTTGATGGCTGCACCGACGGCAGATACAAAGACCAAGAGAGGTTGAACTGTGCCCTGAAGTAATCTGCTTTCCTAGATCATGGCGAACACTCCGGTTAACTAAACTGGGTAGAGCCCTGGTATACAAGTCCGGTTTTGGGTCAGGCAGATCTTTGGTGTGGGTTCCAAGTGGTTGAATTGGTGATCTGATGCGAAACGATGCTATTTCCTTCCGGCACCAGCGATGATGGACATGATATCGACTCTTCCGTTCGCTTCGTCAGCTGCTCCTGCGCTTGATCTCTTGAATTCTTGGAAAGCAATGTCAGGGGCCTGTAATTCAAAGAGATAGCCGCGACCCGCGCGGACCATGTCGTATTCGTCGCCGAATCTTGGACGAGTTTTCATGGAGACACATAGTCGCTGGTGAGGAGAGTTGCGAACTCAGACGGCTGCGGTGGTCGAAGGATGCGGGAGATCACGCTGATACGAGCAGCTCGCAGAAAGACAATAAGTGACGTCTTTAGCAAGATGCTTCTGTATCCCGGCTCGCTGGCTCATGTACGCCATTCCCGATTGGGTGCGGAGGGCTGGGATTGGACATGCGCGTGAAAAGGAAGGTTGGCCGAGCAGGGAGCCGCGGTGAGAACGTACCGCGACCCCGCGTCACGCGTCGGTCACGCTCCTCGCGCCTCAGGCTGTGATCGCCACGACCCTTGCGAACGAGCAGGAAATACATCAGCGCCTGGAGTCCACCCTGTTCATCCCCAGCTTCCCCAAACTCTGTGCCGTGACTTATGGGATGTTGGTCCTAGAGCATCTCCAACCTCCCCTTCGCCAGCAGCTCCTCGAAGTACACCAAACACGACATCCGCCAGTTCCTGCGCAAATGCTGTGATGGGCCATTCCAATCACGCAAGGAAAACATACAGGCACAGACCTGATCGCCCGGACATTCGTTGCGTGTTTTGCAGGATTGTGCTTGTACGGAGCTTATGGTCGTGAAGGCAATGGTAAGGAGTGGGATGAGGCGCATATTTGTCCAAGAACCCGGTTGAACCTTGGATGTATATTATTGTAGATGAATTACTGTGTAACATAAGGGAGGAAAACGAGGTGACCACGATTCCGGAAGAGACCCACGGTCTTTATAAACAATAGAGTCTCAAATGAGAAATGAGACATGGTGGTGGACGTATATATGTATGTATAAGCATGCATCTCAGCCGTGGGTGGCCCTAGACGCAGGGCAAGGCAAGGAAAGGCAATAATTCACAACAACTCTCGCCGTTCTTACCGTAATACGGCATCTGATGGCCATCTGTGCAACTAGTACGTGTTCCAACTCGTGTCTCTACTCGAAGTCATCTCCGTCCATCTTCGCAGATAGATAGCGTCATAGAGGTGCAGAGGACCTTCTATGCCTGGAACTCGGTGGAAGTTGAAGAAGTTGCTTATAAGGGTTGGGCTGGTGAGGACATATCTTCCTATTTGAACTCTGATTTCTGAAACTTTGCCTGAAGACGCTGTGCGTGGGAACGGTAGAAGGCCCCCTAACCTCTGTAACAATCGCAGTCACGGGTTGGGCTACCATTTGCAGTAAGGCTGGCTTGAGCGGTGAAGTTGAAGCGGAAGTTGAAGGCGGGCAGCTGAAGACTGCATGATGCCGGCAACACGAGCGTATTATTGTGTATTCCGCCCTCTGTACATCTAGGATTTAATGTTGTATCGCGTACGACGCTTCCGACGCCTGCAGTAAAGACACAAGATCTTCATCCGAATATCAGATATCAGCGACAAAATGCGTACCGTAAGGAGCTTGTCGTTAGAGCCCGAGGAGCCACAGCCACAGTTTTTCCGAAAGGAAGTTCCTCGCAAATCAGTTCGAGTTAATCCGAATGGTGTTTTTTTTTTGCCAGCCACATCTCGAATATGCAAAAAGGATTGCACCAGGGCGATTGGAATGCATCCTGTCTCACTCTCAGATCGATCGGAGGGGTGACCGAACGAGCAAGGAAAATTGCTAGCGAGGAGAGCTATTGTTAAGGCGAAGACCAATTTGCTACAAATCAACAGTCCCTTTTGGGGCAAGGCTGTAGTCTTCACGCCGCCCTTAGTTATCCAGGTTAGCGCAGAGATTCAAGTAAGACGATTGGCCCGGCTCTGGGTGAAGGCTGGCCGAAAATTACAGGGCGGCGTCGAATTAATCCCGAAACAGAATGAAGCGTGGCGAACAGATTTCCATGCTTGGCGCTCATTTACACCCCACTATTCCTTTGCGACTTGAACATTTGTCGATGAACAAATTTGGGCTCGGATTTCTCGTATCTGCTCAACATCCAATATGCCCGGGATAAATCTTGCAGAAACAATCGGTGGACTCAGCGTCAGTGACGAATGGGGCCCTGCAATCACCACCACGACAACCCTCGATGGCGTCCCATATGCCCCATACTCCAAAAGTGATAAACTAGGTCGCATGGCCGACTGGACACAAGAAGGCAAAGAAGGTCGAGATCGAGGTGGCAGACAATACGGGAGAAACTACAGAGGTAAGATCTCTCCATCCTCTGACCACAGGACGTAGCTGACAATGTGTGTCCAGACCAGCAAGTCTATGGCGCAGGTACGTCCTCTCTCTTCGCCGTGCAAGCCGCGGAAGACGAAGCCACCTTCTCTGTCGTCGACAACACCAGAACAACCGCAAAGGGCCGTGGCTTCGGTCGAGGCGGAGTGACGGTCTTCCGCGGGCGAGGTCAACGAGGGGCTGCCCAACGAGGACAAAGAGGAGCATTCCAAAGAGTCGGACAAGGCCGTACAGGAGGTCAACAGCAAGGACAGTTCTTCGACCAGAGAGGCGGTCGAGGTGGAAGAGGTCGACGATTCGGGTGGCGAGACTACGACAAACCGCAAAGAAATCGTGACGCTTCAGTCAACATCCGCCCCGACTGGGTCATGAAGGAGGAAATCGACTTTAACCGACTCGCAAAACTCAACCTCGAGACCCCTGACGGAGAAGATATTGATAGCTACGGGTTCCTCTACTACTACGATCGGTCCTACGACAAGGCTCCTGTGAAGAACACTGAGCGCAAGCTCCTGTCCCTTGAACGGGCCGCATACAATGTGACCACCTCGGCCGATCCGGTAATTCAAGAACTGGCTGAGAAAGACGAGGCCACCATCTTCGCCACTTCGGATATCCTCTCCATGCTTATGTGTGCGACTCGCTCTGTGTACAGCTGGGACATCGTGATCCTGAAGCATGGTGACAAGATCTTCCTGGACAAACGGCCGGACAGTTCTATTGACCTGGTCACGGTCAATGAAAATGCCGCCGATGCACCTCTAGAAGCAGACACCTCAAGTACGCCCTCCCAACAACAAACCGGAGTGAAACCGGATAGCATCAACACCCCATCCAACCTCGCCATGGAAGCCACCATGATCAACCACAACTTCGCCTTCCAAACCGTGATCGAAAATCCCAACAGCAAAGTCGAATTCCCTCACCCCAACCCATTCTACAGTGCTTCTGAAGAAACCGACCCGCTCGCCTCAAAGGCATACAAATACCGCCGCTTCGACCTGTCGCTAGAACGTGACGAAGAACCTCTCAATCTGATCGTCCGCACTGAACTCGACGCCGCCATCAAGAACAACATCTCAGGGGAGGATCAGTTCCTCACGCTCAAAGCGCTTAACGAATTTGATCATAAGGCCCAAGGCAGCGGTGGTGCATTGGATTGGCGCACAAAACTCACCTCGCAGAGGGGTGCCGTGGTCGCAACGGAAATGAAGAACAACAGCTGCAAATTAGCGAGATGGACGACACAGGCAATCCTTGCCAAGGCGGATCAAATGAAGCTCGGCTTTGTGTCGAGAGCGAATCCAAAGAGCGCAGCGAACCACGTCATCCTCGGTGTTGTGGGATACAAGCCGCGCGAATTCGCCAGTCAGATGAACCTGGGCTTCTCCAACGGCTGGGGTATCGTCCGAACCATCGTCGACCTCGTCAGGAGCATGTCTGAGGCCGCTGACGAAGAGGAAGAAGGAGCATCGGCAGCAGAGAAAGAAGACGCAGCACCCGCGAAAGACAGGAAATATGTCCTGGTCAAGGACCCGAATAAACCGGTGATCAGGCTGTACGAGGTACCCTTGCACACCTTTGAGGACGAGGACGACGGCATGACAGGCACCGTCGGCGAGACCGACGGCGCAGGAGAGGAAGCAGAGGAATCATAGGCGCACCACCGGACCGCGGTGATTGCGATGTGATGTCTTTTGTTTGTGTGGGGGGGGGGGGGGGGGGGGGGTTTCAAACCGGGAGCAAAACGGGAACTATCTACCTATCTACTCTGCCCAGGGTATGTATGTAGGCTCGAGGATGGATGATCCAACAACTCTTCAAACATCAAACATCAAACAAGCGAGCGAGCAGGCGAGGCTCATTTCAATTTTTTTTTCCTCGATCAGCCGTGCATCGAGCGAAGAGGTCACCACTACGGTACATACAATTTGTGCGCACGACTCGAGTCGTGGCTTTCACACCGCACCGCAATACTACATTCATATGGAGTGCGGATGGACGGATGATGTGGACTGCTTCTCTCCGAGCTGGGTCGGTTGGTCGACACCGTTGCTATTCCCTGCGACGTCTACGACGCGACGCGGCAGACGCGGCATGACACGACAAAACATAGACAAGGCATGCAAAAGCTACATTTTCGAATAAAAGTAGTAGCCTAGGAGATATTCAATAGGCTCCCCTCCATGTGGGAGTGTCGAATAGGTATCTCGTTTTGCAAAAGAGCGAGTGAAATCATGTCCACCACCAGATGTAGTTCTGCGACGATGTGTATGTCAACGTAAAATCCATCATTATAGGGTCTTAATTTCCACTTGGGTATACATCCATCCGTGTTGTGACACTGATGCCGCACTATACTATACAAGACGAAACAAGGCTCAAAAATCCCACTCTATGTCACCTCTTAAAGAGTATTTTGTACTCGCGTGAACTTTTTCCAATCGAAATCCCTTTATCTGACCCGACCCATACTCTTCCCAATCTCGCTCTCCCAATTGGCCGCCCTCTCAAATCCGTTGGACGACGTCTGAAAATCCATCATGGCTTGATAGATGGCCTCTTTGGAAGTGGTCACAAATGGTCCATACTGAACAATATTCTGGTCCAGTGGCTGACCGGCGACGAGGATGAATCGAGCGCCGTTCTGTGCACCCTCCTCGACTGAAGCGATCACCAGGTCGCCGGCTTGCTCGAACACAACGTTGTGGTAGGGTGTGACTGTTTCTGTTTTATGTGCGTCGGCGCCGTTGGAGAAAGTCACCGCTCCTTCAAGCGTGTATGCAAATGCATTCCATCCCTGCGGAAGCTCTTGCGTAATCTTTCCACCAGGTAGAATCGAGATATCGAGAAGCCACACAGGTGTGTAAGCCAGGTCTTTCACGGACTCGACGCCTTGGCTTTTACCAGAGATGACTTTCACTTCGACTCTTCCGTCGTCGGTCTTTGCGATTGGGATTTCCGCTGCGCGTAGATCGCGGTAGCGGGGTTCGCAGGATTTGAGGTTCTCGGGCAAGTCGACCCAGAGTTGCATGCCAATGCTGATATCTTCGGTTTGCACTGGCATCTCCGCGTGCACTATTCCCCGTCCTGCCGTCATGAATTGTAAATCACCAGGCCCGATTTTTCCTGCATGGCCGGCGAAATCTTCGTGGTTAACACCACCCTTTAGGAGATAGGTGATCGTCTCTTGTCCTCGGTGAGGGTGGTCCGGAAACCCTGCACCAGGAGAAATCCTGAAGTGATCGAGCATCAGAAACGGAGTGAAGTTGCGCAGTTTTGGAGTGCCGACCGAGCGCCGTACTACGGCACCCGCGCCTTCTGATTGTTCGCGAGCGAGGAAGGAGAATTTGATCTGCCGGGGGGTCGTCATATTTGCTGTCGTGGTCGACGCGAGCCGAGAGGGGAAAAGAGGTAGTCCTAGAAAGGGGGTTGTTATAGATTTAGCGGTGGCTGTTGGCTGTATGCGATGTATAATGTTGCTGAGGGCCGGTCTCGCTTGTTGAAGAAACGTCTTCGTCGAGGCCAGAGTGCTGGAGTATTGTGCAATAAGAAGTGAGGTTGTGATGGTAGTCAAAAAGCAGCAGATTCACTTCACGGAAAGAGAGGGGAAGTTACTTATACCTGCAGGATACAATGGACAGTCGAACATACTAGAATAGGCAAGCACGATTCGACCACCAGCATTAGATAGGCAGCTTGCAGCTTATGAAGATCTTTCAATAGCATTTGTTGTACCCCAAGTATGAGAAGGTCGCAGGCGCAGATGAACAAATGCCGATGGAGATTTTCGGAAAACCTTCCGCAGGGCTGATTGTGTAAGAATCAGTCAGCACAATTCCAAACGCTGAGTCACGTGTTATCATGTGATGTGCCAAGGAATGACACACCCTCCTCCCGGAAAACGCCCCGCGCGTCTAGTTACGGAGAACCAGCTTACATGTTCATGATCTGGACACCCACCTCGAGAACGTCTCGAACCGATATTGTCTTGCAGGCGGAGTTCCAGATATCCATAAATACGCCGTCCCGGGTGCCTGCTAAACCATAGCCGCGGTCCGCGAATGATGTCTTCCAACCTCTGGTGACTCGTCCAGCAGTTGTGACAAATGACGGAGAAAAGGCACCATGGAAAATTGCGACGATGATGATCCGGTTTCCGAGACCGAAGTCTCTTCCACAAAAGCAAAGGCCGTGTCGAACTTTGAGCTCGCTATCGTCTCCTATGGCCATTCCAACGGCCCACTCACCCTCTCAGGGCCCGGCACTGTCGAACAGCTGACTTTTTCGGTGAGGGATATCAAAAATCCACCTGCCAAGCTCCGCAAGACGCACACTGGCCTCTCATCCCATCTGCGCAAGGAAGTCATGGCTAATAAGGCCGCCGCTGCAAGATTAAGTTTCATTACCGAGGCCGTGCGGGCGAAGATGCGTGAGATGAGACTTGCTCGTGAGGAGGTCGACACGAGCACGGAGACTCCTTTATACCCTACGGGGCCGTCGATACTCGTTGTCGGCATCATGTGTGAACGAGGGAAACATCGCAGTGTCGCCTTCGCGGAGGAACTCTCTCGAAAGATCCGAGCCGATGGTTGTTGGATAGTCTCGGTTCAGCATCGCGAACTAAGCTCCTTGTCGGATCGCCAAGGCGGTGGTATCGAGGACGAGCACAGCTTGGGAGGGGACGGGAGAGCCGGACACAAACATAGGAGACAACGCGATCTGGAGAGGAAGAAAGGTAGGTCATCCGCCGGACGATCTGTGCAAGAAGCCGTCGCCGATGCCGAGGAGGATGCTTGAAACTTGCCGCACGGGAAAAGAGAGGAAATTGTCCCTAGCTGGACACCGAATGGACCAAGCCTCCTTTGCTACCAGTTGGGGTCTCTGTTCCTGCTTTGTAATATAACCGACTGTCTTTTGACCTTCGCGTGCGTATCTGCATCTAAGCAGGGAGGCAAGTACTTGGTCCTGGATCTCGGAACCAAACGAGTCCTTCCTTGGATTCCTTCGGGCTACTATTCCGAATTAAGTAGCTCGGTCGAGCCGTCATGTCCCTTGCAGAACTTCTGACTCGTCCGCTCTGCCGTGCGTCGGGATCTGGTTCTCGATCCGGTTTGCGGAGAGAATGGGTGATCATGGAGTCGAGGTGACCCACACACCCTGGACTACAATATGACCACCTAGACAGCGAGACAGTTAGTAGAAGTCTTCAGCTCTGACATATATCATCTCTATACGTTGACCGCTATTCACCCAGCCGCCTAGGGGAGCTCGTGTCAAAACTTCTTCTTTTTCTTTCTTTTTCCACGGCTATACCCTCCCTAAGGCCGGCCGAGTCATAGAGACTAGAAACTTTCAAGAGATTGATTTTGACTGATCGATCGATATCTTCATTATTTATATATCGAAGGCAGGGGAAAGGAAACCATGTTCTACGAGCCGGGCAAAACAGAGCATAACCTGCCTTATGATCCGTTCAAGGTCAGTCAGTCCATCAGTCGATCATTCAGTCAGGCGTTCCATGTAATTCAATCGATCGGTCGAGTTGCTATGGCTCCCCTTGTTCTTCTCTGCGGTGGGTTGCCAGTACATTTGGAAATATGGACAAGATTCACGCGAGGACACACAAGCACATCAGGAAGACATATTCTCTCCCGCAGTCACGATCCCCATCCCTTTTTTGAGGCCCCCTCCCATTCTACTGTCCATGGCAATGTTTCCTTTGCCTTCCCTCCCCTTTTCTCATTCGTATTGCACAGGCATGCGTCATCCCGCGCCCAATCGGTTGGATCAGCACCATCTCGCCTCCCCAACCATCCAGCTCGACCGCAACCTCAACCTGTACAAGCAACGGCCACCGGCAGACCACAGAGACACCAATGCGCGCGGCGAACCTGGCGCCCTTCAGTCAATTCAACAACCTGACCTTCGACCCTCCCTTTGTCATGTTCTCCGCAAACCAGACGCCCTCGTGCCAGCAGAAAGACACGGTGCGCAACGTCGAGGCCACGGGCGTGTTTTGCTGGCAGCTGGCCACCTGGGACCTGCGCGAGGCTGTCAACGTCACCGCCGAACAGGTGCCCTACGGCGTCGACGAGTTTGACCGGGCCGGCCTGGAGAAGGAGTGGTCCACGGTGCTGGCGACGCCCGTGCCCATGGTGAAGGCGTCGCCGGTCAAATTCGAATGCGAGTATCACTCCACGTTACGCTTACCGGGGAACCCTCCCATGGGGACCGTGGACGTGGTTATTGGCAAGGTCGTAGGCATTCATATCGACAATGATGTCTTGTCAGAGGATGGAAAGATCGATGTGAGCAAGACTCAGCCCATTGCAAGGTGCGGGTATTACGATTATGCTGTCGTCAGGGAGACGTTCGAAATGATCATTCCCGGGACCACCGAAGCCATTCGCTATGGCATGGAGGGTAATGTGAGCAAACACAAGGCGGCCAGAGAGGCAGCCAAGGAGATTGGGGTTAGTGGATCGGGGCCACCGTGATGTAGGAAGCATCCTCAATTATAGTATTCTACGCTAGCCTAATCCTCAAGGGCTCTCTATTCATATACCATGCTATCCTGCTGCGACGTAAAGTCGGGCTTCACCCTGACTATTGCCATTCCCTTCCAAAACGAACGCTTGCACCAATAAGATATCCGCAGCGCATCCCTGTAGTTCCTGAAATGTGGCACAACAATCAATTCGATATCTCTCACCATCAAACAATTCCCTTGCACAAAAGTTCGTCCTCATCCATAGCCTCACTGGGATCTGTGGAAGTTGCTGTCTTCAAGGTCTCGCCAGAACTACTCTTGTCAGATCTTTTGCTTCCTGCAGACCATTTGCTTTCGGCTGTAGTTGCTCTTTCCCGATTCCACGGACGTTGACTCGAGCTCTCCACTTCAGTCTCTGGAGACCAACCCTCCAAACGCTTCAAGACAGGGATTCTTGTTGTATGTTCAGGTAGAGACTTGAGTTCGGTGTCGATGGCCGGATTTTGCGAGGAGCTCGAACCACTGGCCTTCTGAGGGACAAACTTCTTTAAGACCTGGGCTGCTCTCGCCAGTTTTTCTTCCTCTGTATCACGAGGAATGTTTGGTGAAGTGCTTCCAAGTCCAAAACAATTGCTCCGGTCCGGGTCATGCTTGTCAGTCTCACGGTTATAGTCGATCCCATATTCTTCAACATTCACAGCAGGTCCAGCGCCGAAGTTGGATGGTTCACACTTGGATGGCTCTCGGTCGTCTTCGAAAGGACAGGACTCGTACTCGTCGGTATGACTTTCGTAATACTGTCTCACCGATGGACGGCCAGACAAAGGCAACGGAATGGATGCTGGAGACGGCGTACCCCTCGCACGAGGTACCGCTTGCCAAGAACGTGTTTGGGCCTTCAAGCTGCTGAGGATTTCGTTAGATCCTTTCTCTTCGATCTGTGCATTGTTAGCGACTAGACGGATTTCTCCACCAAGGCGCGTAGCCAATGCTAACCTCTGCATACTCAGGCAATAGCGAAGCTCCGCTGTCCGGCTCGCTTTCAGTTATAGTTCCTGCAAGTGACATGGAGCTCTCGCATCTTTCGGTCCGAGCACGAGGGAAAATGTAAGAAAGTTGTCTCGGTCTGTCTGTTGGAAACGGTCTGTCGCATCGAAGGGCGAGCTCCGCTACCCAGGGTGGATTCTGAAGGAAAGTTTCAGGGACATAGAAGTATGGGTCCTAGAATAGAATCAGCATCCTGTTGAGACCAGGGGACTATTTCTCGCCCACCCCGTCAGAAGTTGAATGGAGACATATCTTTGTCTTCCTTGACTCTACTCCTACCTCGTCAACAGTGGCAGACGGTGGAAGTTGAAGTGGGCTCCAGTCCGCATGGGCATCTGGTAATGGGGTAATAGCTGCTTTGGCCCGGGTGTCTTCGTGCGAACTGGCATTCGAGACCGAGATACTGCCCGCATCACGAGACTTCATAGACTCATAACATTCCGGGTGCGTAAAACGGAGACGAATATCTTCGTGAGTTGGGGTTTCGTTCCATTTCTCATCATTTTTGCACTTCGTCAAGGATGAACTTGTCAAGACAACAGATCGACCATGCGAGCAGTCCGAGTCCGTATCACCTTGATCAGAAGGTGATACATCCGATTTGAGCTTTGACACATCGTCTTCGACAGTGCATTCGGCTTCGGGGAACAGTTCAGCCTGACCGATCTCACTGGAAGAGATTGATTTGCTTCGACCCCCGTCATGGTTGGCCATTTTCAATGCCAAACTCAAGCCCCCAGTTACCACTGCGGCTACAGCGGAGTTGTTTTCGGGTAAATCTTGAATTCTCTCATCGTTGGCGACGAAGCGTTTCTCGATGAGAATGTCTGCAGGTCGACAAGACTCTATCCCCTTGCTGGAAAACTGGTTATCGTACTCTCGAAGCATGCGCCGCTTGACTTCCATGTCGTGCTCGTCTTTTGGATCTTTAAAAGGGTTCTCCGTTGGGCCAGTCGCACGTGGCAAGGGCAAGGGACGTTCTGATAATGGGCTGCCGACCGACAAAACATCCTGGAGATCATTCTCAGTGATGGACGATTGGGCCGCAGCCATCGCTTGACGGAAATTGATCGTTGAGTCCAAGACTTGCGGCTGAGGAGGCCTACCAGTTGGGATTAAATGTGGGTGGTCATTTCCGAAGCACTGCAGGAGTGGTGTGGTTGCCAACTGAACAGGAGGCAGAGCGGGTGTTGGCCTAGGAATGTCGATGGGAGAAGATCTTGGTTCGCTCTCGATGATTGATTTTCCAGGCTTGAATCTGACCGACTTCTTCGGACTGACACTCCTGCCTGGTGACAGAGCTTTGTTGGTCGAGATGTTGGCATCTTCAGTCTTGGAGTTGCTTGTATTCTCCTTGTAAAATAACGAGGTCGGAGCGCGAATGGCATCAGCTAGAGCTTCGAGGAAGGTCTTTGGGGGCGGCCCGGTCTGAGAGGAATCTGAGTACCTGCTGCCCGGAGTACCGCGACTCAGCTTGGGCAATCTCGACGAAGAGGATGTGGCCGACATCTTGAGAGGATGAGGGCTAGGTGTCCGATAGTAACGCTTGGATTTGTCCGATGCAGATGGATTTTGGCCGGCTTTGAAGGGGTCATGCTCAGGATTCGAGGCATCATACACCGAGTATAATTCCTGCTCGAAGACATCGTGCTGAAGCTTGACTGGCGAGGGGCTGCGTCACTCGTTAACGACTGAGAGATCTTGCAGAGTCCAGACGGACCTTGATATGCCTCTCTTTCTGACAGAGCCCATCAGAGACGTCAAGCTCTTGCGTGGAGTCAGGCTCGGGACGGTGGCCGAACGTGCTCTTGGTGATGGCAAGGGGGACTTGTGATCCTCCGGTAGCTGGTCTGCCTCGTTGACAGTTCGCCGTCGGAGGCTGGGAAACGGCATGGTCGGATAAGCCGCTACGATGTGGATACAACAATGAGAAAGAAGTATCGAGAGGTCGAAGATATCGAGGAGAGAACGGTGTTGGGGCGACGAAGTGTTTCAAGGATTGTATGTTTGGGTCAAGGCAATGAGCAGGGTTGCTGTAGACTTGAGAGAGCAGGCACCAAGGAGCAGACTGCAGCCAGTGCTACGGAGGAGGGTCGGTAGGCAGGAGGACGACGAGAGAAAGGTCGACTCTCGGTCTTTTCTGTGACAAAACCCAAGTGTGATGAGGCAGCAGCTGGTGATATTTTCAGTTCCTGGCAATAACGACAAGAACAAGAACAAACAGCAGAGACGAGAGCAAGTGAAGACTGACGAGGTTGATGATCATGTGAGAACGAGCAGCGCAGCACACCGCTCGCAACAACCATAATCCCGATTCCGTTGAAGAGCTGAAGAGTTGAAGAGGTGAGTTACTCTGTCGCCTAGTGCGTGTGTCTCTCCCTCAATTGTCTTTCAGATGCCTCTCCTGCAAAAGTGCCTTTCACTATACATCACATCGCAGAGCCGCTGATCAAGTCTCGGTCTATGTTTGGGCGAGTGCTCTGTTCACAACTCAAGCTCGACTTCAATGCTTGCTGGAATAGAGCTGCAAATGAGAACGCCATCATCTCCCTCCAAGATCCCGTCGATGTCTCCCTTTAAGAGCTTGACCTCACATGTTCCACACGCCCCGGACCGACAGCCATAGTCCGGAGTCAACCCAGACTTCTCTGCCAGTTGCAGCAGTGATAATCGATCTTTTGCCAACCACTTGGCTTTCAGGTTGGACTTTCGAAACGTGACAGTGGCCTCTTCGATGTCTTGCATGATGTGTCTTTGCCTCTTGTCAAACCCTCGACTTCGTGGACGGCCTTTGTCTTTGGAGTCCGTGACGATAGCTTTTGTGCTGTTTATAAGCTCCCTCGACGTCGGTTATTGCGGTCGGTGGTCACGCCAATCTTCTTGGAAAATGAAACGATGCGTTTGGCAACAGTGATGCTGTGCCCTTGAGGCTTGAGACTGATATTCGTGATAGTTTTGGGGGGGATCATCGCTTCCAGTGAGATAAGCCCGTGTTGGATTTAGCCGAGTATCTCGGGTTTCTTCCCGTCTGCAGGAAAATACGCCTCACAAACAACCAAAGTCGGAAATGAACTGTGGGTGACTATTCTCTACTCATGAATTGAGACATGAGGGAATGCACATTGGATTTGGCAGCTAATGCGAAAGGGAATGTGAAACTGAGGTTGGAAATAAGGAAGATTTGCCGCGGCATGGGCTTGTCCAAGATTATCCAAGTTTGTCCCACATTCCTCTTGCGCTCGTTTCCGCGCGAATAGAGAACGCAACACTGTAGCCTACAGCTGACGATTCCGCCCTTGGCCGAGCTTTAGGAGATCAACGTCTCCTCATCGACTCCAACACCAGTTGCACATTGGCGAAGCTGAGTTCGTCCATTGTTTCCCGCCACAGCTTCTCGATAACATCCTTTCCTTCGGGGGTGTATAGCATGGTCGCAAATCTGAATTGGAATCCCGTTTAGCAAATGAGAAGTCACAGGACGGGAAGCTTGGGGCCACCATGGACAACTTACGGTTTGATCTGCCAGCCCATGATAAAGCATCCATGAGACTCCTTTCCCTTGAGCAGGCAAGCATCGAGATACGTTGAAGCGCCATCCCGAATACTTCTGGCGGTGAGGGCGGCAAATATGTTACCAAGAAACACCATCACACTAGGAGCGTCGCGCGCGAGTTGTGTGCCCTTAACAAAACCCGGGTCCGCCAGGTTCACGACGACGTCGTCTGCCGATACATAGTCCTCGAGTTTCCAGAGAAACATATGCGCGAGGACCTTGGACGTGTTGTACGATTCACTCATGTCATACGCCTTTGGATCATCAAATGAGGGCAGCAAGGGTGTTTTGTTCCTGTTCTGGAATTTGGCAACGAGGGAGAGCGCTGCATTGATGATTGTCACGCGGCCAGGTGTTCCTGCTGGGGCTTTACTCCTCAAGACAGGAAGCAGGAGGATGCAAAGAAGCACTGTCGAGAGGTAGTTGATCTGAAAGAGCTCCTCGTGGCCGGTACTGGGTATGGTGCGATATTTGTACGCCCATCTGCCAGAGTTGAGAATCGCGATATCAAGGCGCGACAACTCGGTCTCTGCGCGTTGGACGAATGCCTGGATGGAATCATAAGAGGCCATATCCAGTTCCCAGACATCAATGGTCGCCTTTGGATAAGTGATGTGGAGCTTTTTGGCTGCGTCCTTTCCTTTCTGAGGGGAACGGACAGCGAGGATCAGGTGTGTGAGGTTGAAAGAGAGAAGTTGTCGGGCGCACTCGAAGCCCAGACCTGCAAATATTTGTAAGTAGGCACCGCCATGAAATCGAAACAGTCTTCGAGAAGGAAAGAGAGCCTTACCTGTGTTACCTCCGGTGATGATAACGACCTTCCCAGATAGGTCGGTACTCTTGGGCGGCCGTTGAGGTTTAGCAAGGAATTGGTTCCTGATGAAAAGCCGAGGAAAGAATGGGGTGGTTATGGGCGGCAAGTCCTTGGAGGAGGGCATTATGGGGTGGTTCACGTTGCGTGGTTTGGAACACGAAGGAGCAAATAGATTTTGATACTTGGAGATGAATACACACCAGAAAACATCTGGCGGAGGTGTACACATATATATGTACATACGTGCTCTTACCGTTGCGACTGTCGTGCAATGGCCACTTCAGCTCTGAATTGGCAGCATTTCGGTTGATCAAAGAAGAGAAATTGCCACTTCACAGGATGTTCCGAATACCCAGTAGACTGATTGTTGACATTTGGGTGTGGCAGTTATGCACCCATGGTGCCCCTGACCAAAAAGGGTCTAGGCAGCCTCGCTAGCACAGTCTATTCCCGAATTGGAAAACGATATCTGCATGAGGCGCCCCGCCTTGAAACAGACATCAATCACATACCCCAACTGAAGTTGCTCTAGGTACCGTTGAGGCTGCCTCGAATCCAGGTCGGCGTCGAAGTAAAACGCCAATAGGCCTCGCCATGTTTTCTTTGCCGCACTCTGTTCAACAACTAACCGCGGAGGGAAAATAATAGTCGTCGATTTTGGAAAGCAATTGCCTCTTCCTAAACTGGCGCCTTGCGAGGAGCATTCCATCACATACCAGTTCGGCGACTTCGACATCGGCCGTGGATTGATTTTGCAAATGGTAGCAATATGTCTCAGGCGAAACCATCGCGTAAGCCCCTAGCGCAATCAAAGGAGTCCTTCATCGAGAAGATTGGATCTAATGCCAACTTATCCATTCAATAGCAGGGATGCCTTTCATTGTCTCGGCAGGCGGGAAGAAGAAAGATGATCCAGAAACACGCAAGCTCATAAGAAGCCATGTGATGCTGGGAAAGAATTTGGGAAAGTCTCGAGGGAGAGCAAAGCCCAAAGATCCCTTGCCCTGGGAGGTTGCACCTGCATGGAACTCCTTTGATGGCGGGGGAGCAGCGATACAACAACCCTCGTCGATTATCCCTAAAAAAGTCGGCTCAGAGTGGTCATTCACCCAGCTGGCTGCCGAGATTGAGCCAGCCGCAATTGCGGATATTCTGACCTGTAAGTTTGTCTCATTTGCGGATTTAATGCAAGGAACTTCGGGTGCTCACTGCACGGAAATCCAGATTCATCTCTCGCAAGGCAAGCCACCGTGCCACTGGAGGCATGCATTTCCTTCGACAAGAAAGACAGGGTATTAGTTGGCCCTATGGCGTCTGACGCCGCTTTCGTTCACGCTGCAGCACTGGGGACTCACGCGTACGTCGGATTGATGCTAGGCCGTGAAGATCATCATGCAGTCCAATCCACGTCTCCACATTTCTCGAAGGCTCTTCAGCTTCTGCGTGAACGACTAGACTCTACAGATGAAGACCTGAAAGTTGCAAATCCCACAATCATGGTCGTCATTGCTCTTGCACTTCACGCCCGTATGATTGGAGACTTCGACTCTGCGAAACATCACATGGAGGGCCTTCGCATGATGATCAATCTAAGAGGAGGGATTACCACCGTCATTCATAAGATGAGACTTGCGATGGAGATCTTCAGGTACGCATCTCTGCAACGTCCAGCCAGCCCTGCTCTTGTTTTTCCTTGCCTGGCAGATATCTAATCTTGTACAGATGCGACATTGGGTTAGCGATCGAGAGCGGTTCAAAGCCTGTCTTCTTCTCAAACACCTCTCCCCGCGAGCCTTTCCTGCCATTCCCAGACCGAATGTCGAGATCAATGCCAAAGTCTGCCGATATGCCGAGTTTCTGGCCTTATTCAGAGCAGTTTCTCAGTGTTATCAATGAAGAAATAGCCATAGTGTGGAGAGCGATGAAGAGATTTTGCTTACAGATCAGCCGCGCCGCCAGAACTAAACGCAAACTTTCTGAAGAAATTCTGCTCCAGGCAACTGCTTCAATCATGTATCGGCTTCTTCACATGAGCTTTGCATCTGGGTCTCTTGACGCGGCCATCCGACTCGGATTAGTAGCCTTCTCCTCACAAATCTTCTTGCAACTGCCAGACGTCGGGGTACGAAGGACATCTTTGTCCACCACTTATCAAGAATGTCTCGTTGGTCTCGACATTTTGGAAGAACAGTGGCCTCAACTGTTGCTTTGGCTTCTGATGGTCGGCGCTGTGGCAGTGTTCAACGAGCCGGGTAGTGCCTGGTTGAAGCCTTGGTTGAAATCAACCATTGAACGATGTGCGGTTGATTCATGGAGTGATTTCCGGGACATGATGGACTCGTTCATGTGGATTGGGTTGGTATTTGACAAACCGGCGAAGGACATATTCTACTCAGCGATGACTTCATTGGACCTGTCGGGAGACGGGAGTGCATCAATTGCTTCGCAGGCTAAAGCCTCCCCTGCAGCTACTCCTAAACCTCATCCCGTATTGGGCGTAGAGAAGAATTGATTGAGGGAGGTAATAGGTCGAAGGCGCGAGGTGATGTCGATATGGCTGGCCCTGGATGCTTTGATGGTCGCGGGATACGCACAAACGCGGCAAATCCGCCAAGAGATTTTTTGTCCCCGAGTCGGATCGAAACAAGCTTCATCGGCACGTCCAGTTATAATCATCTATATCTCTGTAGGTATTCGGCTTAGTTTAATCAACTTGGAACCTAGAGGGTATGCATATCATATGGTGCTGTATCTAATGACAGGACGCCGGCTTTGGGCCCCTATCCAGTCCTTGCTATGAGCTCTATACGCGGTTCAGGCAATCTGATTGGGATGAGCTCTGGCTGTTCACCACTGTTAAACAGGGGGACGTTGCATTGTAGGTCCACGATGCCGCCATATCAGGTTCACTCCTGCTGACTCGATAAACCAGCGCAATTTCAACGAGTCTGTCGCGTCTATGGCGGCCACTTTTGTGCCCTACAACAAATCTCTGGTGTCTGTCGACGCCCCAGCTCGACAGTCACATCTTCCCGAGCACCAGCCGACTCAAAAGCGACAAGTCTCTGTGCCAATGTCAGGCGTTCTACCTCAAGTAAAGCCGTTCAAAAATCAAGGCCTGCCAAGGAACGTGACGAGTCGGAATCGGAGTCGTTGAGCGATCCATCTCATACTCAACCTTTCGACTCAGGGACCATCTCTGCAGTCAGCAAGGGTCAAACCAGTGATGACGTCCGTCATATCCATCCGGAGATCCGGCGAGAGAGGCCTCTTCGCGAGAGAGTCAAGGGTTTGATGCGCCACGTGCCCCATCCTGTTGCCGTCATTACCTCTACCGATACATCTGCCAGTGCCGACGGTGGTCCTTCCACATGGCGAGGAGCTACAGTATCTTCCTTCAACACTGTAACATTGGACCCGACGCCCATTGTTTCTTTCAACATCAAGCAGATATCTGCGACATACGCTGCCATCAGAGCTTCCGGCCTCTTTAATGTTCACCTATTTCTCTGCGATCGAATGGGGAGAGAAATCGCGGAGAGATTTGCGCGCGGCAACGTGTATTGTCCTTTCCACTCAAGTGATGGGACTTTAGCTACGTTTGCCCGGTGGCGATCGGACACACCGTCAGCATTGCCACCGAATTCACCCCCCATCATCCAATATTTTCCCAAACTTCGGGTCAGGTGCCGGTATCTCCCCGAAAAGGCAGTGGAAATTGAAGATCACATGGTGCTATTCGGCGAAGTTGAGCATGTATACGATAGATTGGACGGCGTTGATGACTCGAATGTCTGTTTATACTATGTAAATGGCCGCTATGCCCAGGCGCCCCAAGGATACGCACATTGGCCATGAAACAAACGATCTGAGGAGCTTTTGGTTATATTTGCAGGACAAACCCGAGCGGCGGCCGGGAGTTCAGAAAACTTTATTGTATTAAGCTGGTTACCTGCGCCGTCAGCCTCGTGGGCACTGAAAGCCTTCAGGCTGAGCAAGGCTAGCGATGAACGATCATGATTGGTCAGAAAGATTAATCTCCAACCTCGCTTGTTAGCTGTCTCCCTCACCTTCCGTGTTTCTCCCATCGTCTTCCGTCACATAGTGATGCTATAGATTCAACTTTACTGGTTCTGACCTGCCGCAGACGTCACAAAGGCGTGGCTCATTAAGATGCCGGCCAAATTATCTGTCGCCGACACACGCTTTATGTGCATCCAGTGCCGGAAGACCCTGAGCTCAACCAGACTACGACGATTCGCATCAACCAATGCATCATCACCTCCTGAAATCTTCGACATTGTGACAGTTGGCGGCGGACCGGCTGGCCTCGCCCTCCTCGCCGCGTTAAGTATGGTTATTTCCTCCTTGTCGCCACAAACGGTCGACAGCTAACCCGCGTCCGCAAGAATCATCGCCCATAACATCCCATCTGAAAACCGCCTTGATTGAGACTCAAGATCTCTCGAAACTCCGCCAATGGAGTTCGCCAGAGGATAAATACTCGAATCGGGCTAGTAGCCTGACACCCTCATCAGTCTTCTTTCTCGAGAAGACAGGCGCATGGCAACATGTCGACCAATCTCGCGTTCAAGCTTATGATGAAATGCAAGTCTGGGACGCCGCCAACGACGCAACCATTCAATTCGACTGGACGGCCGAAACTAGCAAATACAACGCCCCCCCCAGGACAGTGGCGAGTATGACAGAGAATGCCAATCTCACAAGGGGCCTTCTTGAACGAATCGCCCAGCTCGGTGCGGAATCGTCGCTTTTCTCCAGGACGAGCGTCTCGTCCATTACGAATGGCGAAGATGACCCCAATGGCCTCAACCTGTCCACTTGGCCCGTCCTTACGCTCGAATCAAAAGCACCATCCCCGCATTTATCACCAGAACATCCGTCTACCATAGCAGCTCGCCTCCTTGTCGGCGCCGACGGCTTCAACTCGCCCGTGCGCAGCTTCGCCGGCATAGCATCCCGCGGCTGGGACTACAACCGGCACGGCGTAGTGGCTACGCTCACAGTTCAGTCCACCGACGACAACAGCTCCAATACAGAAGATTTCGACCTCTTCTCCGAGGAACCCCTCGTGAACCGCGCAACCGCATACCAACGCTTCCTCCCGGACCTGGGCGGGCCCATCGCCATCCTCCCTTTACCGAACAACCACGCCTCTCTCGTATGGTCCACGACTCCGTCGAACGCGTCGTACTTGAAATCCCTCCCGCCCGAAGCCCAGCTGGTCATGATCAACGCCGCCCTGAGACTGTCGCAGACAGACATCAGATACATGTTCACCCTCCCCCCCTCGGACCCGGACCAACACGAGAACGAACTCCGCTGGCGTCTCCAGCATACTCCACCGCCCGCGATCTCGCGTCCTGTGCCCATAATCACTGCCGTTCAGGAGAATACGCTCGCATCGTTCCCGCTGCGCCTGCGCCACGCCACGTCCCTCACCGGCCCTCGCATCGCATTGATCGGAGACGCAGCACATACCGTCCACCCCCTCGCGGGCCAAGGCCTGAACCTCGGCCTCGGCGATGCCGCCTCCCTGGCGAACACAGTCGCCTACGCCGTGGACCATGGCATGGACATTGGCGACGGGTTGGCCCTGGAGCGGTACAACGCAGATAGATTCGGCAAGGGCCTGGTCATGGCCGGCGGCGTCGATGCCTTGAACTGGATGTATCAATTGGGAAGTGGTGGAGAAGGGGGCATCTTGAGCAGGCTCGTCGGTCAGGCAAGAGGCCTGGGCATGAAAGTCGTGGATTCCGGCTTGGTGCCTGGGTTGAAAAGCTTGATCATGAAACAGGCGAGTTAGAAGAGGGGATTGAAAGGGGAAAGGAACTTTGTGAGTCGTTGGGCAAAGGAAAGGAAACAAGGATGTCAGAGGTGGAGAAGAGTCAGAGCGAGTATTGGGTTTATTTGTACAACACCTACGTACCTTCAGCCTGCCGGTCTCCGGAGAAAGTTTGAGGATGAAGAGCAGAGCGCCATCAACCCTTTTGATGCCAGAAAAGATGGATTATATATGCTTTTTCCAAATCCTTTCCTATCGCCGTTGGCAATACCAGCCCCTCGTAAACGGCGACCGGGATCAACCGTCCCCCCGGCCCCAAGCGCCCAAATCAACTCTCTCATCTGTAAACATCTCCACCCTTAATGTCTCATCGTTCTTTCCCGCCATCCTGTCCTCCTCATTTCCCTGGCTACCCTGCGCCAACCGCTCCAGAACAAGCCACAGGCCACCAGTGCCCGGCCCGCACAGCAAAGGCTGCAGATCTACATCGACGATCCGAAGACCTGACGAGACAGTGCCGAATTCCTCGCTGTCAATCTCGCTGGTCGCGATAATCTCTTTATACGGTCCTTGACCTCGCTCAAGAGTCATTTTGAAGAGGGAGGAATTCGCTCGCGCAGCGCTAGCACTTTCGTATCGCGCGATGAATAAAATTCGAGACATTCTCAAAACCGTAAGAGGCGCGAGCAGCCGGTTCGTGCCATTTGTGAAGACTGCCGGCGCACTTTGGATGCTCAGTCGTCCCGCGCCTTCCGCTGGGAGCTGAGTCAAAGTTGCACCCTTGCCCGCTGGTGAGGACGAGTAGAGGTCGAGGCAGAAATCCGAATACTGGCCTTGATCAAATGTAGAGCAGATGATCGAATAGTTACCGGGTCCTAGCTCGGTTTCCACAACTGCACTCCCTCGTCGGTAGTCTCCTGAATGCGCGAGGACATCCCGCAGGCGAAGGCGGGTAATCCTTGAGCCGTCGCTAAAGAGTACCAGAATTTTGACGTTGATATCGGACTTTGCTGCAGTGGCAGGCTTATCAGGGTGGATAATTCTCAGCACTAGTGCAATCCTCTGTGTAGTAGACAAGGACATTCGAAATTGGGGATTGGACAGGTAATTTGCCGAATCTGAGTTTCCTCCAGCATTTGATCTGTTCCAGGCGCAGCTGAGGCTGGACTTCTGAGGATATTGCAGTCGTGCTTCCGATAGTGCTACTGGACCTGTTGACAAAGCCGAAATGGTAAAGTTCATTTTCCCAGGGGGTAGATTCTGTGATACTAAAACTGCAGTATAGCCCGATTTGGCTGTAGCCTTGAACCTTAGAAGGATATTGGGAGAGTCCACAAATGGTCCGCGTATCTTTGCACCTTCACTTGAAATAACTCTGCTGCCATCACGAGCATATATGTAGAGGCCGATGTATCCGTTTTCCCTAGTAGTCTCTCGAGTGTAGTCTCCTGTTCGGAAATGTCGGTGGAGTAGCAACCAAACCTCGCCCCTATCAGACGCTGTTACTGCAAACTGAGGATTGTCGACAACCAAATTGGCAGTTGAAGTAGCCTTGGCCTGGTCCCACGAGAAGTGAAGGTCTTCTCGGTGTGAAAACAATCCAGGATTCCAGTTGAGATACATGTTCTCGAAGTATTGGAAGACACTGTTGAAGTCCATCCAGAAAGTACCGGGCATCATCTCCTCATTTTCGGAGGGGTCGGCTGGAGGTGCTTCATCGTTTCTGTTGGGTCGACGTCTTGTTGCCCCCCGCCAGACATCACCATCAGCCCACGGATTTTTAACAAGCATCTCTTTGACATGGCCATTAGCGGACATGTCCAGGACGGCGTAGTCATGTTCTGCTGCGAGACCTAGGTGCTTTTGCTCGCGGCGAGGCAATTTGCCGGTGCCAATTGTGACGAGAACATTTCCTCTTCGGAAGTGGGTAATAATTTCTTCCCACAAGGTATCTGGTTCAACCTCCTCGTCATGAAGGAAGACTTGTTGAGGAATCCATCCCGTAAGAACAGCTAGATCCGTACCGGAATTGCTCCCAGGAAAATCGTAGCCACCACGGACCTTCAGATATGCTTTCTCAACCAAGGCCGGCCATAATAATCGAGGATGTCGGCGATCAATCACATGAAGAACTCGGCTAGTCTTGGAGGAAGGCAAATAGTCGTCGATCTCTACCTTTCTCCAGCAACCATTGAAATACAACTTCAAAATGTATTTTCCATTAGGCGACAATATCATTCGATCAGTTTCGTAATCGAAAGGATGTACTACGGATCGAAGTATCTAAGCAGGGGTTAGTGAGGAGACAGTCTCTGTCAGAGCCCCTGCCCTACCTTTGGAAAGCCGCGCTCTACTCTGGACGTTAGAGCACAAAGGCTTGCAACAACCGAACAGTCGGATGTCATATCTTGCACGAGGTCCATGGGCTCAGGCAAATGCATGAGGGCCCCGCTGGAACCATTTTGACCATTTAAGTTGCTGTGAACAGACGGCAGGGCTTGTTGTGGTCGTCTCCAACCGTCAAATGATTCCAGCTGGCCTGGAGACAGAGGCAGAGAGGTTGAGTCTGTGAACAGAGGTCCTCCATCATGAAGCTCAAATTCATCCGACGACGGTGGAGCCGTCCAAGGGTTGAACTTGAAACCATTCAATTTACCGCCCTCCAACAGTATGATCTTTTCTCTCGTGGTGAGCTCGCGTCTGGAGACAGGTGGTATGAGGAGCTCCCTTGGTCCTACCGCGGGAACAGGGCTCTGATGTTCATTCTGGGCGGCCTTGAGCCGCTCGGCTCGTGCTAGAAGTTCGTTGAACCTGGCGTCAAGCCTCTTCTTGTCTGAAGGTGTGTCAGCGAGGCGCAGAGCCTGGAAGTACAACTCAGCAGTCTTGATTGTGGCATCCAGCACTGCTTTGCCGGTGGATTTGGAGGGGATTGTCTTCTCGATCGAGCGCGCCTGCTCTTCAAGTCTGGAGAGACTGTCATCCATTACCTAGGCACTAACTAGCTCGAGATCATCCCTCAGTCAAACCCACAGGGACGGACGTCAGCGGGCCATGGAAAAATGTCGGAAACGGGCCGGGGGTTCGGGAAGGTGAGAAGAGACGGTGCAGTGAGAGAAGGGCGAAACGAGGGCGAAGCGCAGGCTGGGTGCGGACAGGAGTGGCCAGGAGTGGCCAGGCGGAGTTGCCACTACCTCGGCTGGTCAGGATCGAGCTACCCATGACCGAAGCCACTCAACCGCTGAGAACCGCTCAACCCATGTCCCACGGGGTTTCGCATGCGAGATCGCCCATGGTTCTCGGAGAGATGAGGAATGATCAATGATGCTTTTCCATCTAGCAAAATAATTACGCGACCATTCCTCCCAAGCCTCCCTCCTTCCAAGCCCACCCCCCCGTCGACCATATCTTCCACAGCTCCTCCAACTCTCACAACTGGTCGGCAGCGAGAACTCAATTCCTCCTACTCAGTACAGAACTCTGTGCTCTATCTGTCTATATCACTACGAAAGGATCCGGCATTGAGCTTGAGAACCCTCCAGACCTCGTCCTCCCATTCTCCTTCGACGCTCAAAAAGCGGCTCAGACAGGACAATGACGAAACCCGGGGAGCTGGCGCCATGGGAAAGCGCCATTGCAGGTGCCACTGGTGCTGTGCTTGCAAATGCGCTGGTCTACCCGCTGGATATGTATGGAAAACCCTGACTGGAAGATAAAAGATAAGGTGCTAACTTGGATCCCAGTGTCAAGACAAGATTACAAGTCCAGATAAAGAAGAAGGGCCATGTACACCAGCATACGGCCGAGCACCATCACTACGAGTCGACGTGGGACGCTATCAAGAAGATTGTCGACCATGAGGGCATTATCGGCTTATACTCGGGCGTCAATGGCGCTTTGATCGGTGTCGCCTCCACAAACTTCGCCTACTTCTACTGGTACTCAGTGGTGCGGTCTCTGTACACAAAATACCGGACTGCTCCAGGAGGCCATCCAGGCACAGCTGCTGAATTGTCACTGGGTGCCGTCGCAGGGGCAATCGCCCAGATATTCACAATTCCCGTGGCCGTCATCACCACGCGGCAACAGACCCAACCCAAGGGTCACAAGAAGGGTCTATGGGAGACGGGTAAGGAGGTCGTCCATAGTGAAGATGGCTGGAGTGGACTCTGGAGGGGTCTGAAAGCCTCTCTCGTGCTGTGTGTCAACCCAGCAATCACATATGGCGCTTATCAGCGTCTGAAGGACATTATGTTCCCCGGTCGGGCGCGACTCCATCCATGGGAGGCTTTCCGTAAGCCACAAGACAATTCTGAACAAATGTGTAACTATCGTGCTGACATGCATATACAGTTCTCGGAGCAATCTCCAAATCAATCGCCACAATCTGCACCCAGCCCTTAATCGTCGCCAAAGTCGGCCTACAATCCCGACCTCCCCCAGCTCGTGAAGGCAAGCCCTTCAAAACCTTCTCCGAAGTGATGGCATATATCATCGAGCACGAAGGCCCACTCTCTCTTTTCAAAGGCATCGGTCCTCAGCTCATGAAGGGTCTTCTTGTACAAGGTATCCTCATGATGACCAAGGAAAGAGTGGAGTTGCTGTTCCTGTTACTCTTCTCTTACATCCGAATCATCAGGGAGAGGAAGCTCAAGGAGGCAGCCGCCAAGCTGAAGCAGAAATCTAACGGACTCAGGAGCCGAGCCATGCCGGTTGCGGAGAATGTGCTGGAGAAGGCAAAGGCCAGTATGCCTGCTACCATGAAATGAAGACCGTGCTGTTAGCTGCCAAGTTGGATTTCGATTTTTTGGGATAGATCTTGGTGGGGAGGCAGGTGTTGAAAGCAAAGACAACAGGTCGGCCAAAGATCAGCATTTACTGAACGGTGCATGGCGTTGTTCGTGTCCCGTCAAACATCCACACGGGTTTCTATCAGGGATATACTTCTGCTCTTTTTTTTGTTATGCACGCCCTGAGTTGTACTGTTTCGTGTCTAGGATGTAGCGTCAGGCGGCATGTTCAAGAGGCAATATGAAGACAGAAAAGGCGAGCAATGAGAAGATCTTAATGCGCAATTCTGGTCAACTTTCAGGATCAAATGAGCAAGGCCATTTTAAACGCAACGGTACAGTGAAATCGTGCAGACTTTTCGCCCGCCGGTGGTGTTGCTGTTCTCGTACAGACCCTTACAGCACATTACTCCCCTCAGGTCCTCAACTTTTGTACACGTACCAGTCTCCAAGACATGGTGTCGAGGGAAAGGGAAGCAGCTAACGATTTCGCTTCTTCGCCCTCCCCGTCTGACTCTGCCGCCACTCTGCGGCCAGTGCTGCGGACTCCGATGATGTCTTCCTGAACACCGCGATGAAACCGCCTCCGAAGGTGCGTTCGCCGACGAGCGGGCGGCAGACCATGACTGGCTGGTTTTCTTGCGATGTCGAGGAGATTTCGTCCTCAGCAGGCTCCTCATCCTCGGTGTGCTTGTAGTTCGCACAATCCGGGAGCTTATTCTCATCTCCCGCCTTCGAAACCACAACAGGTACTTTCTCCGAACCAGCACGTTGGGTCGTTCCATCGGTATTAGTGGAGGTGGTTCCCTTTCTCGGCTTCACAAACCTGACGTCCCACTTCCTTCCCGAACTTATGCCCTCGCCTAGTTCCAAAACCTTCTCCATGTTCAGAGGTAACGACAGCTCTTGAACTACCTTCACACAGTCCGCGATTTGGGTGATCGAGGGCACAAACACAACTAGTTTTGCCCCGTCGCGCATCGTGGGCTCGACGTGTCGAATCTGAGAATGAACGCCAGGCATATCAAGGAGGACAAAGTCGAGAAATTCGGCATTTATATTTCGTTGGTTTGCGATCCACTCCTTCACCTCTCCTGTGTAGAAATCCACATGCGGCCAGTATAGACCCCTCCGGAACCCACGCACTATCTTTTCGGCGTGGACGCTATTCGCTGGAACAACTTCCACTGTATGTAGAACTGCACCACGGCTTTGTTTCCATTCGTCCCACGCCCGTCGGAGCGAATTAGACTCAGAGTGAGCTTCTTCAGCTGCCGGAAATGAATGCGTTGGTGAGTCTGTCACTCTACGCAGGTTGGGTAGCTGGATGGCCGGAGGAGGCGGGTTTGCGGCGGCTATCGCTCGAGCAAGATGCAGTGTGAGGCTGCCATGACCTGTACCTGCTTCCAGGATCTGGAGGCGGGGCAGTGGGACACCCTTGTCTGGAAGTGCGGTGTATGGTTCAGGGTGTAGGTCTAGCAGAGAGACGATCGACGATGCATAGCTGGAATAGACCGGAGTCACGAGCCTGGGGGTGAGCGTGACATAGTCCTCAAGCGACGGGAGTTCGATCTTATGTAGAGACCCCTTTGAAGATCGGACGTACGTTGAAGTGACTGGTTTGCCAATGATGTCGTTCAGGGGGATTTGGCCCTTCGATGAATCGTACTTTGAGTTCCGCTGCAGAGGAAAAGTGAGCTTTGATCCATCTACAAGGACTCTGTCACCCTCCGCGAACCGGGTCAAATCTCGAGGGGTAGCATGCTGGAGGACGCTGGGAGTCTTGGAAAGGGGCCCTTGGGATCTTAAGAATCCAAAAACTTGTTTCAGATATCGAAACACCCCAGACATGCCACCGCTCAACTCAACACTTCCCCGAAGTTACCTCTCTCGTGGAATAAAATCAGTCAATCCCCCCTGAGCTGGAAACCCTTCTAAAAATGTCGAGGATGTATACTGACGACACCGCTCAGGGAAGGTCAGCCGAAACCCCAGATTCAACTAGTCCGCTTGCGGTAACTGCCTGTCGATCTTTCTTCTGTCCAAATATTCGGGTCAGGGACATGTTCCATATTATTTACCGCAATCAATTGATGCTGTGGCAACAGTGCACCAGATGATTCAGTACACCTGTCCCAGAAAATCTCCAACGATCATTGCTACTATAATATCAGATCAGATTGAAGCTGCAAAGGCCTTCGGCAGTCCAGAGGGTGAGCCCGCTCACGCGGCCTCCTCACAGCACATGTGAACATGACCAGAAGACTTGTATGTGCTCGACCCTGGCGCCGACCCGTTGCGGGTCGCTGACCATTCTTCTAGGTACGCACCGGCATCCAGCTCGGCTTGATAATCGCCATCGTCTTATTCCTCGTCGTATTCCTCGATAATAGATACCGAGTTCTCCCTAATGCCATCCACAGCCATCTGCCTGCGCACCATCCAGGCTTTGTGGTCACCGATGTGACAGTCGTCACCTGCTCATCATTAAACCCTTTTAGCCGGTGTACGGTCGACGGCGAGGACTGGCACCGAATTGAGAAGGACTTATATCTTGGCAAAGGTTTCCTGTCAAAAGCCTACCTTTATGTGCAGAGAAAGCGCGAAGATGATCTAAAGACGCACGAAGAAGTAGTGACAGACGTTAGGATTGGTCGTCTGCAGCCCTCAGTGGTCGATCCAACTTCAAAGGATGAAAGATGGGAGTCTCGCCCCGCTGGAATTTGGATCAAGTTGTCATCGAAACGGCACGACAAGATGGTAACGGGAGTCGACGTCCTCTTCGGCGCCGATGCGGTGGATCCTCGCTCAAACTGGGAAATCCAGGACATCTCCTTATTCATTGATGCAGACCGCGAGTCACCCGAGCCTCGTCTCACAGTTCGCAAAGGCCCCGCTCTGAAAGTCGAGAGACCCATCCCTCGAATACGAAAAGACGGCAAATTCAAGATCATGCAAGCAGCAGACCTCCATCTTGCGACGGGCTTGGGGAAATGCCGCCATGCATTACCGGAAGGACAAAGATGTGAGGCCGATCCGCGAACGCTTGATTTCATCGCTCGGATGATCGAAGACGAGAAACCAGATTTTGTAGTCCTCACCGGCGACCAAGTCAACGGCGATACCGCACCCGACGCTCAAACCGCGATCTTCAAATACTCTGAAATGTTTGCGCGACACAGGATTCCCTATGCAGG